AATAACAATATCAATTCAGGTTTCGTGTGACGGTGTATTTGATGTTATTTTCTTCAAAACAATGTATAAAAGAACAATAGATTCAGTTTTTGTGATATCCTAAATAATCAAGGTCTCGGTAAGTGTTACCAGCCTCGGAGTTTGGCTCAGCTGATAACTCTTACCTTGACCTTGATTGTTCCTGATATCACAAAAACCTCATTCAATAATTGTTTATTATTAACTGGAAATGCATGCCCAGGAGGAAAAGGGGAACCTTAACCCTTGAAGCCCCCAATATCCACGTACAAATTCTCCTGACCAATCTCCATAGATTTTCCTTTAGAATAAGTTGAAAAATTTAATGTAAGATCAAATCGTTTTCTTTTGGTGATCACTTTCATAAATTCTCATGATCTTTTCCCTTGATAATTTATTATTTTGTTGGGAGAGAACTGATGTTGGTCACTAGCTCATGACTTGTTTATGGATCTAAAAGCAGATCACTAAGTATTCACAGCTTAAGAAAACAGTGCTTTTTGTTTTGATAAGCGTGATTTTTTCCCTTTTAATCAAAGTATGTAACTCTTTCACTTACATTTGCCGCATCTTATTTGTCATATCTTTCGCTTTTGTTCACACAGGTGAATGACCGTAATTAGCGACGTTCGAAAGTATGTTGTTTTAATGAAGTGAAGGTGAACATGGCCAAAAATCCTGGTTAGGCTTTATAGCTGGGTATTCTAGCTTCATTTTTCAGTTTGTTAACTTAAAAAAAATCGCTTTGAAAAGTTTGGGGTGCGTCTTACAACCGAGTAATGGGCCTTAAAACCAAACAAATACAGTAGATTAAGAATTGATAGCCTGCGTAGCAAGCGTTTCCGCGCGAGTTCGTCGAGAAAGTAGGGACGAGAGCAAAAAAAGGAAATGACAGGGGAGGAGGAGGGGAGAGAAGGAACCCCCCTTTCCCTTTCTATTTATTTTTGCTCCCGCTCTAACTATCGCGCAATAACTCGATTGGAAACGCTTGCTACGCAGGCTAAAGAATTGACCTCATGGAAAGGTGTCAGATAGACTTCTATTTGAAATGACTACAGTCCTACATTAGAGTAATGTTAATCTTTCATAAAGTAACAAGATTATGGCATTAATAATACTCTTTATGTTGCAATTCACTACGTGCACATGTTTGGGTGAAAAAACTGGAAAAACGTAAGACTTGTTCCTTGGTGAACAGTTTCTTCAGAAGATCTCTAATTCCAACAGGATTCTCTCAATTTGTGCTAGCAAAAACTGTCGCATAAAGTTACCTGACGGTATCCTAGATAGTTTTCCCATAGATATGTAAGCCAAAGAAACAACACCACAGCAACAAGAATGTCCACCATTTTGGAAATTTTGAAGACAAGCGAGCCCGCAATTTTAGACCCAATCAGCCCGCAATCAATGAAAGATGTGCGTATCTGCGCAGTTCGTCCCAGTCCTACGCAATCGAAGGTCTCCAAGGGTCACTGTTTTGATACATTTCTTTGCGGCAAATGTCTAAGTGACACAAATGAACACGCAATTGAATGTCCGGTCAGGGTTTCGGTTAATTCGACGGAAAAAAACGATTATTGTCTCTTTGAGATGTCGGGAAGCTATTGAAAGGTAACATCTCCGGTGAAAATGGGTAATGGAGCAAATTCAAGGCCTCATAATTCTTTGGTAGTGCAACCGAGTCAACGGCACGTTCCTCATAATGGTCAACCTCCGTTGGGATATTCAAGCTCGTATCCCGGTTATTTTGCTAACGGTGGGGATGCCTATGGTCAGAGATTTCATTCGCAATACGGCTCTCAGTCTTACTACACGGGAGATTACGGTTCTAGGAACGGCTGGGCTCCCCAGAGTTCTGTTTCGTACGGTTCTACATCCAATGGTTATGGTTACCATGGGACACACGATGAACATCCCAGTCCACATTCTAGGCAAATGCCACCCAGAAGGGACAGGTATGACAGGAATCATCAGGGTACGTCACATCAATCTGCTCTTTCTTCGCATCATCATCCGAAAAGAGCGAGAACTAACGGGCAATTAAGCGGTGGACGTCAAACAGGTTATCGAAACTGGCAAGATGGGAATAAAAGTTCCAGTTCAGACGAAATAGTATTCGAAGTATTTCACTGTGTAAAGACAGGAAGGGATTACAGTGTGATCAACGTGGATGGAGTCAGATATCTTGTCAATTCGTGGGATGCAGGTAGAGACATACCTTGCGTTCTTGTGTAGCTGTGCATACTTTTGTTTATATACAACACATTAATTTTAAAACCACTTGTAAACTATAGTTTTCATACAATTTAACTTCTACCTGACTTGATCATCTACACCCAGCCTTCAGAAAAAAATTTCCAGCCAGACCTTAATCCGGCTTTTATTTGCTTAGAAGATGGAAATAAGAGCTTGAAAAAATAATGACTTAGACATGCTCATCTTTGTCTGACACAGGCTTATTCTAGAAAAATACTGAAAAGAAACCAGGAAGCACCTGTTAGTTACCATATTGTTTTAGGCCACATCCTAATGAAATCTGATATTTTTAAAACCCATATATTTTTTTTTCCATGAACTGGCCTTTCCTCCACACAAAACCAGTGAATTTCCTTACCGAAACCACATCCTCTTGAAATGGCACTTCAGAGTGTTTTAAGACCCCAGCCACACAAATCTTGGTAAAAATATGTGTTAAAAAATTATGCAGATTAATGTGGATGGGGCTTTAGTTGTCTTAGTTGTTGTGAATTATCTGAAGGATGCACTCTCCGAAATGGGAGGCACCCCTTGCAAAGAAGTAAGTGCCCCTACTCTTTTGCTAAATTAGCCCCCTCTCTCACTGCCTTCTTTCTAGGAAGTCTTTCTCCAAGTGATTATGGGCTGCTCCCTCTCTCTCCTTTTATTAGGTTTTAGTTCATTGTTAATCGGCCATTTACACCCTTACACTGACCAGCTTGTTATAATCAGACAGTCGTCTTTGCAAGTAGCCATTCCTCACTGCTTTATGAAACATAAATGTCCTTTAAGAGTTGAGAAAATGTTGACAAAAGATGTACTTTTTTATTTTTAACCAAATTCTCCTCATTAGTAGTGAAAGGAATGTTTAATGAGTCTAGCCTTGAGATTCAAGACTTGATTTTTAAAAATTTTGAGAATCAAGAATCGAGTTTTGTGTCTCAAAGATTGAGGTGCTAGTGGCTGTCAACCCTTTGATTGGTACTGTACCTTATATTTTGTAGTGAGTAAGATGTAGTTTAGTTTAGAGGCAGAGGCTAAACTTGTAGCATGGACAAGCATGTTCTGAGCAAGTAAAAAATCAACTGAATGAAAAGGGACTGGTCTCAGTCTTTATTGCCAGTTACCAGAGGAGCCCATAATCCTATTCTCTGAATTGCTATCATGTATGCTTAGCAGATATGATACCAGAGGAGCCCATAATACTATTCTCTGGGTGGCTATCACGTATGCTTAGCAGATATGATACCAGAGGAGCCCATAATACTATTCTCTGGGTGGCTATCACGTATGCTTAGCAGATATGATACCAGAGGAGCCCATAATACTATTCTCTGGGTGGCTATCACGTATGCTTAGCAGATATGATACCAGAGGAGCCCATAATACTATTCTCTGGGTTGCTATCACGTATGCTTAGCAGATATGATACCAGAGGAGCCCATAATACTATTCTCTGGGTGGCTATCACGTATGCTTAGCAGATATGATACCAGAGGAGCCCATAATACTATTCTCTGGGTTGCTATCACGTATGCTTAGCAGATATGTGGCCAGCATTTGTTTGGACTTCCACTAAGAAAGAATGAGATGCATACATGGAATGCAATCTGGTTGAAAATCCTTAAATAAGAATGACCCAGACGAGGTTTCAGGAGCCCATGAGACTGCGCACCCCAGCCAAACCCTTGCTTTCACTAAAACCGCTGGACAACACAACCTGGTTGAGGTCATTGTTATCTAAAGTCTTCCAGCCTGATCACGCTCGTTTGTACCCTCTTTCACTCGTAATCTGATCACATATGTTTTGCCATCTATCACTTCAAACTAACATGTATGCAAAGCATCAGTGCTGGGGCAAGAGTGTTTTGACCTTTGATCAGAAGCACGAAACTCGCCCACACTTCCAGCCCTTTGGTTATTACAAATAGTAATCTGTGTGTCAAGCAGGAGTGGTCCGTTCATGTCTATCTACCCCCTTTGTTGTCCTGTCTTTTCTTCTTCCCTTATAAGTTCCACTTATTACCTTCTATCTCGTGTACAGGGGATGAATTACAACCATTTCCTGAAGATTGGTACCAACATGGCTACATAGAAAGTCAGCAACCTGTGACAGCAAACTATGTGGAATATGACGAGGGATCATATGATGATGGGCAGCGGTCTGATGAAGGATGGGTTCCAAGATGGGAGGATGACCGTATGGGAATGATGGAACATCCTGTTAGAGGTACACAATGACTGTAGCTACTACACTGTAGTCCTCTACAAATCTTTTGTCCTTCTTGCAGTGTTCCTGTACAGTGTACTGATGCAAAGACTGGCGACAAGACTACACCTCAGGGATATTCAGTTGACTAAACTGCAAAACAGTGTTCAAATGTTTCTCGTCAGCTTTATCTTACATTAGATAAAGTTATATATTTTGTCCCGCAAGTACTAATGGTGAAAGCTTCATTGCGAGTGCAAAGGGCCTGTTTTTCATAAAAACTTTTTACACCATTCATCGCCGCCCTGTCCCTACCCTCTTTAGACTCTTGTGCAGTTTCGTGTTTAGTTTTTTAGCACCTTTTAACCGATTTTCTTGGGTCGGGTTATTCTGCTTGTCAGTTATTTATATGAGAAACGTATGCAAAAACGAACTCATTCTGGTTTATTGTAATGTATACTGTGTCTTTGTTATTTAGAGTGGTATGCAGTTTAGTACCCTAAGGAATCAATGTCATGGTAAACCCTTATATGTAACTTTCTCCAAGGGGCATACCATAGGTGTCTATTGTCCATAGAAAGTGAAAAAAAAGACATAAGTGAAGAAGGTGTCCATTTTAGGGTAGTGTCTGCCTAAAAGAGAGTTCAAGAAAACAATTCAAGAACAAAGGAGGGCAACTCTAGTTTTTTTTTATTAAGGTGGTTTCTGCCTTATAGAGAGTCAAAGAAAACAACTCAAGAACGAAGGGGGCCAACTTTAGGTGTTGGCATTAAAGAGGTGTCTGTCTTATAGAGAATCAAAGGAAATGATGGAAGAACTGCAAGGACCAACTTAACTGTAGCTGTCCGTTTTCAGAGGAAGAGAGTTGACTACACACTGTATTTTTATCTTTTATTTCAGGATTGTTGAATACCTACTTTGAAGAGACCAAGCTCAACGTGTTGAGCGTGTATGATAACGTATCAGGCACGTGGCTGAAGATGCCGCTGTCGTGGGAGCTTCATGTTCCTGACATCAGATCACGTGTTGTTGCTATTCAAGAGGCATTTCCAGCCTGGGACGATCAATTTGAAATCCTGGCGATGCTGAGGCAATGCAACTATGATCTGGACGAAGTCACTAATACATACATAACTTTACTGGCAGAGGACATGGGGAAGAAAAGGCCAGGAACTAAACAAAAAAGCCGCTCCTCCTCGGGGCAAGATCACGCGGCAGAGGTTGAATTGTTGAAGGAGAAGATTGAACAACTCGAAGGACAGCTTCGTGAGAAAGAAACGAAGCTGGAGGAATCCTGTTCGGCAAATGAAGACTTGAAAGTTAAGCTGAAGTCATCGGAAGAAATGGTTAGGAAACTTCAAATTAAAGGAACGAATTTACAACGAGAGATACAACAACTGAAATCAGTGCCGGAGCCACCAGTCCCTCAACCTGCGGTACAAGTAGTACCTTCACCCAAAGCACCAAAGATTAACAAAGAGACTTGTCGGAATATTGCGTCGACAGTTCGAATATTTTCTCAGATGCTAGTTGAAATAAGAAACTGCTTCACCAGCGAAATGGATGGAATTGCTTCAGTTCTAGATCAAGCGCAGAGCTCTCTGCGCAAAATGAAAAACTTAGACCAGGGATCGAGCAAGGAGGTTATGGAGCTTCGCGCACTGTATCATAAAGAGGTCATGGAAAGAAAGCTTCTTTACAATAAACTTCAAGAATTACGCGGCAATATAAGAGTTTTCTGTAGGTGTCGCTATGACCCTAAAGGCGACAGTGTTTTTACATTCTCCACGGATCAGGACTTGAATTTAACATCGAGCACGGGACAAAAAAAGTCGTTCAGATTTGACAGAGTATTCACACCATCCAGCTCACAGGAGGAAGTTTTTCAAGACACTCTTCCACTTATTACGTCATGTGTTGACGGGTACAATGTCTGCATTATGGCCTATGGCCAGACTGGTAAGCTAAATATAAACTTGTCAGTAGGTGAAAGAGAGAACGGGCGCGCGCGAGGGGGACACGCGTGTCTCCTTCTCGCGCGCCCGTTTTTTCTTGTGCCTACTACTTCGAAGCGCCTGCTACGCAGGCTAGCTCTCTAGGGTCCGTGTTATAGATCTGTTTACTTAAGGTCGCCAATTCTTGGGATCGTTACCCCAACAGCTAGCCTGCGAATACAGCCGTTTCTCCTTGCTCCTCTGGAGAAACGGCTGTATTCGCAGGCTACGCAACAGCGCGTGACGCCAATTACTACGGGCCCGTAGCAGTTCCTCCCCCAAGGGGAGATAGACCACAACCCCGGGGGTTACGTCCCAGGGGTTCGCCACCTTAAAAACGAGAAGGAAACTGGACCGAGTTAACTTTTGCAAAGACCTCTGGGATCGTTATTGGGGACGCGCCGGATAAGCGTACTTTCCCCCTATTTCTAACCATTCCCCCCTTTAAGAACTCTAACCTCCCGCTCTTTCCCCTCCCGCCCCCTGTACCCCTATTCTTCCTGGCCCCCCAAGCCCCTGTCATGCTATGCGCCTCTTTTCACGATTAGTGGTATAGCGCTCAGTGTATTTTGTACAGAGTAAAATCTGTAACTGAGCGAGATTTTAGTACAAATCATTCAGTTATTGGACTATTCGGGTGAGACGAAATTAAAGAGAGCAAGTTGTTACTTCAGTTAAGTAATCTCGTGCTTATAGAAGCTAGCCCTAAATAAGGAAAGAATAAAATTTACTGCAGTAGAAAATATACTAAACAGCTCAATTAACCCTTTAAGCCCTAAGAGTGATCAGCATGAAAGTTCTCCTTATTATATCAATGCTTTAGAAAACAGAGTGGTCATGAGAATTGAGTACATGATCTGGAAAGTTGAGTCTGATGTTTTAAAAAATTCTCCTCACTACTTCTATTGAAAAAGTATAGGGATAGTAAATGCGAATCCCAATTTTAATATTAGGGTTTAAAGGGTTAAGCCTGATTCTCATACCGTAAAATTCCGAAAATAAGCCCCTCCATCTATAAGCCCCTCCATCTATAAGCCCCTCCAAATATAAGCCCCCCAAACCGGTAACGCAAAAAACCCTCCGTTAAATCGTCCCTCCAAATATAAGCCCCCCGGGGGCTTGTACTTGGAAAATTGCCCTCAAATACAAAGTAAAACAAAGCAAGAACGGTAAATTTACTTCCAACTATGAGGCGAACCCAATCGGTTTTGAAACGCAAATTTCCGCTCCGCAGATAAGCCCCTCCGAATATAAGCCCCTCCAAAAATAAGCCCCTCAAAAAGGGCCTTTGAAAAATATAAGCCCGGGCGCTTATTTTCGGAATTTTACGGTATGCTGCCGATGTTCCTGTGACTCAGCTGTCAGTACTGCCTGCGATACTGCTCCGATATATGAGAACATCCGCTGCCGGCCAAAAGAAGCAATGCGGGTCTTTACCGCCGGCATGCCTGTCAAGTTGAACTTGATTCAACTTCGCTGTCAACGTGATTCCAATTTATATTCCAGGGGCGGGGAAGACATATACGATGATGGGAACAGACCAAGACCCGGGTGTAAACATCCGATCCATTCTTGAACTTCTGAGAGTTTGCGAAGAGCGAGCAAATGTGGATTACTCGATGTGCGTTTCCATGGTTGAGGTGTACAATGAGACAGTGAGAGATTTGTTGAGCGACAACAGCAGCTCACAGCAACTGAACATTATCATGAGGAGCAAACAGCTTGTTATCACTGATGTTACTGAGGTTGTTGTTAAATCGGCTTCGGATATTAAAAGTATCATGCAGAAAGGTAATACTCTCATTTGAGAAACCTGTATGTGAAACCTCCATATAACGAAGGCCCAAAGGACTGGCAAAATTTGTTTGCTATAACGAGGTTCTTTTTCATATTTATTCCACTATTTCAGGGACGAAGAATATCGTTCGTTATACCGAGGACTTTGTCGTATTAGTAGAGGCTCGTTATATGGAGGTTCCACTGTATATACATAACGTTTGAGTTATGTGGGATCTTTTTTTTTATTTTGCGACCTTCTGGCCACAGAAAGAAAATTGTTCTTAGTATTCGAAGTTCGAAGAATTTGGGAAAAAAAATACAATGTTTAACTGGGGAAGGGAAGACATTGTTCAAAGCTGAGGTGAAATCACAACTAAGTATTGTCAGTCATCTCATAGTCTGTCGCGTTAAAAAGTGTGAAAATGGAAGGATATCATATGATTCTTATCGAAAGAAGGAAAAAAAAGCAAAACTATCAGTTTTTGGTCTTTTTTTGAATAACACAGAAGTTTGACATAAAAAATGTTAGTTTTTCAGTTCAAGCTGCAATCGGTTTCTATCGTGACCATCGAAAACCATTAATGCACACTAATGTTGAGATTATAGTAGTGGAATTAGGGGAATTTTAGATACAACGTTACCATTTTGTCGGGGTTATCTTTGATTGCAATGCGTTTTAGGGTTCTTAAAGTATTAGCAAAAAATCGTGATATAGTTACTTTAACTGATATATCAAAAGCGTGTAAGTTCAATACCTGTAGAAAACACGTGCGCACGCATGCCCTTAATTTTACTTACGTTTTAATTCTGATTAGCTTTATTCACTTTTTGGAATAACCACAGGACCAGGTGTAAGGCTCAAGTAGTAACCATCGCAAGCTTTTTGTGGCTGGCTTAAACTTTGCTCTTTCGCTTTTTTCAGGCGACATGAACCGTTCCGTTGGTGCCACAAAAATGAACACGAACAGTTCCCGTTCTCACCTGCTTCTGCTGCTGAAACTCCAAGGCACTGATCGCGTGACAAATGCCGTCACGCGTGGTACGCTGACCCTTGTTGACTTAGCAGGCTCGGAAAGAATCTCCAAAACCGAGGCTACGGGACAAAGACTGGTCGAGGCCGCGGCTATTAACAAATCGCTGTCAGCACTTGGCCAAGTGTTCGCGGCGCTGCGGACAAATGCCATGCACGTGCCTTACAGGAATTCCAAGTTAACGCAACTGATGCAGAGTTCCCTTGGGGGTGATGGCAAGGCTTGTTTGTTCGTCAATGTCAGTCCCCTTGCGAGCAATCTCAGCGAGACCTTGAGCACGTTACAGTTTGGGTCAGCGGCCAAGCAAGTGCAACTTGGGAAGGCTACGCAAAATGTCACCCCAGCTCCTAAGAAAAATTAATCGGAACAAAAATTTTATGGTTGTTTTTATATCCCTGAACGCCATGACCAATTTCCTTGGCCGAGTCCTCTTTGAACAAAATGACATATTTTCAATTTTGACTAAGAACAGGCACAGGCGGCCAGGAGTTCGTTGGAAGTTGAATTTTGTAAGAGAATGTCTAAAACTCGTCAAAACGACTTCGAAATGGCTCTAAAAGTGAACTGACTGTAAAACACACAAAACAAACAAGAGGTGAGTCAATTTTATTTCGAAACGTTTTTTAAAAAAGCGGAATTTAGAACGTTTTTGTATGTTCTTATAGAGAAAGAGTCTATATTCTTAGAGTCTGGGCCGCCTGTGGAATAGGCTGCCTCAAACAATGCCATAAAACGTGTTGGCCTCAGCCTCTCCCGGGCAAGGAATCCTTGAAGTTTAATTCTCGAAGCATTCTAGTAGCTGTAGTAAAATGACGTCATCGTGCAATTGTCCTATTGGTTCTGCCCCGATGGTGGTAGCTTTATCATACGCAGTTCTTAAAGATTTCCTGCTCAAAACAAAAGGCGTTTTCAAGATGCATTGCGCCACCTAAACCTGCAATTTTAAAAATAGATGTCGTGATTATTGTATTTATAAGCCCTGTCCTTCTCTCTCCAACCTGCTTTAATTTTAAAAATTCTCCGCACTCAGTTTGAATTGTCACACTATAGGAGTTCGTTCAGAGTCAAAAGCTGGAAGCGCATTAAATGTCTCTATGACTCAGTGTCACTTGGAGTTTGAGGGCTCAAAGAGCTGTTTGAAAGACAACGGCAAAAAAAGCTACAACCATGTGAAACGAATATTTGGTCAAAAGAAAAAAGAACTAAATTAATTATTTATTAAATCGATCTTTTATGATTAGCAGTGTAAGTTGGATATACGAGGCGCAGCCGATGGATAAGTTAATGAAATTCTTTTGTATTTCGTAGATAATGTTTAAAATATTTTGTAATTATATTGTATTGAAAAATGTGCTTTTTGTCAACGCCAAACTTTAGGTTGCTACAAATATAAATTACTTTTATACAGAGGAAAAAATAATTATGAATTGCTTGGAAAATAAGTTTATTTCCAAATATATATGTATGAAAAATATTGTACTTTTGTAGTTTTACTGTGGTCCAGGACTTATAGAAATGGAAGTCACTGCATCGAAGCCAGTCCGCGCGCACGGAAGACTAGCTAAGGCGCGAATTTCGGCGGCAGTGGTTCGCTTGCATAGAGACAAAGTGGCTCAATTGGCAGGTGAGCAGGTGTTTCATCACCAGATGGAACACCTCGAAGTTCGTCAAAAATACTCTTCCGCGCGTCAAACCTCGTCCCCAGGGCGCTTTTCCCTGGCTTTGGAGGTGGTCAGTGTTTCATCTGGTGATTAAACACTGCATCTCATGCTTGATGTATTACTTAACCACTGTAATTCCCTTAACCCCCGATTTTTCAAACCTGCTGAGGTGGTTCGAAAAATCGGGAATCCACTATAAGTTTAACCCAGGGTTAAGCTGAATTTTAAGAAAACGTTTCTTATCTAGGACCCCGTTACTGGAGCTTATGAAATATCTTTGGGCATTTATTATCTTTATCTCGAGATCCAGTCAGTGAGAACAAAAATACCCTCGGTACCAGAAGTCTTTTTCTCGCGTGCGGCTGGAGGCTTCGGTCTTCGCCAGAGGCCGACAGATCTTCGGCAGTCACGAGTCGCCGCGACAAAAAACTTTTCGCTGGGCTCACTATTAAGACTTCACGGAGACGTCCGGAAACAGGGTGTGAAAAGTCTTTGGCACCCAGGGTAGAACACAAAGTGATTTTCCCAAAAAATCCTATAGAAAGTGACAATCGTTAATTAATTACCTAGAACTGTTTGCTCGTTAGGTCTAGATTTTTTCTTTTAATCATTTATTTACAAAACATGCAAAAGTCGCATTATGATTACAATGTACAAGGTATTTTCGGGAAAGATAGGAGGAATTGTATTACTTTAAGGCCGGTCCCGGGAGCACGCGAACACAAGCGTCGCCACGCCTGCCACGCCCACCAGGAGCCCATATATTCGTTTTTTCATTAATTTTCATCGTATTTATTTTATACACATTAAAAGTAAAACCTCGTTTAACTACACGAGACACTTGGTTTAAAGCCTGCAAGCAAGCTCTCCATTAGCCCGGGACCAGACCACGCAGCTGGGGAGGAAGTAGTCTGCTACACGGCCGTTTTTTTGGGGAGGAGCGTTGCGTGACGACACTAGAAACAGTAGGGGAGAAAGTAGTCTGCTACACAGCCACTTTTAGTGTCGTCACGCAACGCTTCTTGTGGGGAGGAGCGTTGCGTGACGACACTAAAAACAACTGTGTAGCATACTACGAAGAAAGGCGAAAAAAAATCGGCGAGCGAAGCGAGGGTGAAGAGTGGCCACTCAGCTTGCTTCGCTTGCCGATTCGTTTATGTACTGTTCACTCTTTTTTTTGGCATTTTTTTTCCCCACAGTGAAGGCTGGTCCCAGGTCTGAGCTCTCCATTTGGGGATATCGCTTGGGGGATATCGTGAGAAGTCAATTGAATGAGAGTGATGTCAGCTCCGATCCGCGGGTTGCCCGTGATTTAAATAGAGGGCATTACACGGTGGCGCGAAGATATGAATTTTATTTTCGAGTGGCAAAACAATATTTTACTCACTCGCTGCGCTCGTATTGTTTTTGCCACGAGAAAATAAAATTCATATCTTCAAGCCGCTGTGTAATGTTCTTTTTATTATATAGACAAAAAGACATCGAGAAAATAATAGAGGGAAATTACCGAAATTACGTTATCGATTATCGGTTATCGATAAACTCACGTGTGAGATTATGGAAAATAAACCACTCGGGTCCCGGATGTAGTTTTTATGAATTTTACGAGTAGTATATTTTCCAGTTAAACACTCGTGTGTGTATAATAAAAAGGACAGCGTGGAGTTTGTTGAGAAGAGTGAAAACCCATGGCCAACTGCTTAACAGAGCAGGCAAAAATCAGAGGGTTGGTTGATTCGTTCCAGGATGATAAGTAAGGGCGTGTTTTTGCTCGGTAAAGGATCGAGCAATATGGCCACGTTATGGAATCGGGGACAGGAATCGAGGATATCTAGTCTATACTCTTGCGAACAACGATTTGTGTCTGAAATATGGCGAGGAAATCACGTTTTCAGGAAGCCAACCAAATTTGTTTTACTGGAGTATCCCCTTGGATATGCGGCACTGTAAAGAAAAAGTGATTTCTTATATTTTGAAGATTTTTCATCAAATTATGAGTCATTTTATAATCCTGATAATAAAAAAGAATGTATTTGAAAAGTTAGGCATTGTATTAAAAAACTTTGTGTGATTATAATCATTCCATCTCGTCCTTTCTACTTCTACTTTCAAGCGTTTTTTTTTTTTTATGCAAATGACTGAATGTCATTACGCGCACGTCACCATATGTTATATAAGAGGTTCATTTGTTTACTGCTGGACGAAATACGCTTTGCGGTTTCGTCGGCGGTCGGTGAATTTTGCAAGTGCGGCCGAGTTAAAGGAATTGTCGACATGGCGTGCCATTATACTTCTGTAATGGAAAAGTTTTCGACATTTTACCCAAATGGAGAAGGAATCTCGGCGAATGAACTAAATCGATCGAACCAAGATCTTGATTTGACAAAGTACATGGATATTGATGAATTCATTCAAGTTTTGCAAGAAACGGAACGAATAACACCGTTTGGAAGGCTAAAAGCAGAAGCGAATGTTAACCTGGACGATGTAAATACTGTTAAATGGTTCAGCCATCAAATGGAGCAGCCAGGGTTTAATCAATCGAAGAAAAAAAAGATTCCGTTGACATCAAGTGTTTTGCAAGTGATAGAGATGGACAGAAAATTGCGTGATATGGACACGAAGAGCAATGTTTTGCCTTTGTACAGTCCTGAACAAACCCAAGAAATTCTGGACGATTGTGCGCTTACGAACTACCTAGTTCAGTTGTTAAGCGATAAAGGGAATTCCAGTTAATATTCCAAACTATGTTGGGTTTTGTTGGGGTGATACTTAAATGAACATGAAAGAAAGTGGCTACAAACCACGAATCGTCGATGGATTAAGTTGCATGCCGCGATATTAGACCACTGGCATGACTTCGTTTATACCTCGAATTTTGTTTGATCCTAGCTTTATTTCTTACGACTTATGGGAGTTGTTGTGGAAAGATATATTAGATAAAATAAATTACTTGTACATAGAATTGAGAAACGCAAAGAACATTCGCATGTTCGGGCCAACCTGTGCACGCGAGATAGCGTGTGAGTCTTGCAATTACGTAACACACGTGGGTTGAACACGTGAGTCTGGTTGTCGCTGAAAAGAACGTGTTTTATACATCAGACATCACAAGCAACAGAAACGTTCTAGATTGTTGTGTTATTAGTGGACGGATTTAAAGGCGAGAAAACGAGAAGGAACGATACACATAGGGAGAGACAGAGAGAATGGAGACTGTAAATTGTTAAAAATTGAAATTTTGATAAGAAATTGAATTTATAACAGAAATTGAATTTATGTACACACTGGTTGTAGACGACCTTTAATAGTCATTGGCTGTAGCTTAAGTTATCTCACCAGTTTTTTCCCTCGACAATCCTGAAGTACTGCGAGTAGTTGACGTGTTTTTTCTGCCACTTAAAGGAATTTTGTTTGTCCTGCAAGACGTGCGTCCTTCAGTTGATGGATCTGGTCAGAATATTTCCGCTGAGCAAGGAAAATTAAGGGTTGACAGTCAGCTTGTAGAATATTCGCTTTTTCTTCCCGGAAGAAATTAAGCCATGCTTGACGAAATATTCTGAAAACTGATTTGTCAAACTTGGTCTTATCTAAAACTCGGTCAGCTTCGCTTTTTCCTGCCGTCAAGGTAGCTATGTTGAACGAAAAATGGAAATACTCTGTAATGAAAATGATTTTAATACTGTGTGTATCTCTGCGCTGCACACGTGCCTGCTTCGGAGATCACGCGTGATCAAACGATCGCAGGAACACTAACCCCCGCTCGTGTGTCTGTTGCCTTGAAATCTACACGTCGATCTATGGTACATGCATAGATAGAAGAGTTCAGAAGAGATACAAATACTACGGAATTCCTAGTTTTCTCCAAAATATAGATTTGAATGTACATTTTTCAGTAAAAGTTCAAACGAAATGCCAACTGCGCAGTGGTTTTTTTAACCCTTCCGAGCTGTATACCATATCATTTTGCGGGATCTCTGTTCTATTGTCTGTGGTAACTCGTTCGTTTCAAACAGTCAGCTCGTCGTACACGAGCCACGTGCCAAACTTTAACAGTCAAAGCCGTTGTTTGGAACCAACGTAATGGTCATCTGCATTTCTTCTCTACATTGTACTGTAGATTGATGCGCTAATTTCGATAGCAACAACACAGATGGTATGTGTTAAGGCTTATTACCCACGATGTTTTCCTCGTTTTTAGCGATAGTCTTTCAAGCGTCAGATTTTAACCCATTCACCCCTGAACCGTCCGTAACCGCCCGTGCTTGTATCGTTTGTGACATCATCAGTTTTGAGGACCTTTAAGAGCTTTTAAACCATGAGAGTCATGAGACAATTCACTCGGAAAAACCCTGTGAAATCTTGTGAAAATCTTTGTCAGCCAACCCACCCGCCCTTTTTTTCCATCAAGAGCCATAAATGGCTCTTGTTTCCATCTAATCCTACGATCGAAACTGTCTTAAAAAGGTTTCCCGGAAAAACTTTTCTCACCAAAACTAAGGAGGAGGGGAGGAGAGAAAGCCGCTTTCTTTCCTCCCCACCCTCCTTAGTTTCGGTGAGAAAAGTAGTAAAGGTAGTAGTCGAGACTGTTGTGTCACTTTTAAAACTCTGTTTTAACATTGCTTTCTGCGCATGGCTAACAGAGGGTGACGTAGTGCTTGACTTATAAACAGCGTTTGGGCAGTTTTGGTTCGTTTTGGTCGAAAACGGCGCGACTAGCTTCGGGGAGTAGCGATTTTTGGCAAGAGTGAATGGGTTGAGAGCAAATTTTCTTGAAAAATCCACCTTCGAGCAGGCAGCCAAATCTACCCTCAAAATGCCAAATTAGGTGAAAACAACGGCAAAAGGCGAATTTTAGCATTTTGGTAATCTTGAAGTTTAACTCGGGTCAGACCGGAGAAAGCTAATCCTTATATAATCCATTGTTCTCGATCATTAGCATTAGGTCGTCCGACTATGAAGTTCGACCACGTTTTTTGTCTGAGCCTAGCCTGTGCCAGGCTCTCAGATAGTATAGTGGAAACGTATTAAGACGAGCAAAGCGAAAATAGGACGCGCACGCATTTCTTTTTACTGAACGACTTTCCACCACCATCTCGGAGCCTGGAAGAGGCTAGTCTGACCCTGTCCTTAAAATTGTAGTATTTTACCTTTAAAAGCTTATTATTTCAGTTTTTTCGTCGCTTTTTAGACATAAAATTATTTTTAACGTTACTCTTCTGCTACCATTTCAGTTTGATTAAACAATCGCCTCTTTTGCAGTGCAAAGCACTATGTTTGACCAATCCCGCTACTTAAACGTTGTGTGCTTTGAAATGACAGATTCTAGTGCAACTTCCCTTCCCTATCTTCGGCTCCGCAATAATGCTAGCATGAAAATAATAATAATAATAATAATAATAATAATAATAATAATAATAATAATATTTGTTTATTTCCACCATTCGCAGATTTCTCTGAATTACAGGTAGGGTCAGGCAAAGCACTTACAAACATACAATTATACATATAAATATATAAATATAAAAACATAAATATAATAAAGTAGTAATATGGTAGAAATCGCATACACATTATTACACACAATCGATATACCGCGAATATTTAACTGACACGAATTCTGAGAACCGGTCAGTTCGGCCGGGTAACACATGGCATGATGGTCCTGACCTCAGTGAATACGAGGTTTGCGACGCGATGACCCTGCTGGATATTAGGCGGTAAAGCGGGCTAGCGTGCATAGTTTCCGTCACAAATTTCTTGCACGCCAGGTGGCGTCTGGCCTCTAGAGACAGAAGCCCGGCACGCGCGAGGGTGTCCTTGTAGCTCAAGTCAGGACCAAAGATGATTCGTAGGGCTCTCTTTTGCACTCTTTCAAAAGCCATGCAGAGATACTGCGGTAAATTTGCAAAAACTACCGATGCATACTCTAGGACAGATCTTAGTAGGGAGCAATACACAGCCACCAACTCCCCATCTTGCAGCCCACAAGCTTTCAGTTTTCTTAGGGCATAAAGGCGGAGGTATGATTTCTTTATTATATAGTCGCAATGAGTCGAACAGCTGAGGTCCGAGGAAATGTACAAAAAACCCGTTTTGAAAAACTCAGCCATGATACCGCCTTCTCTAGGCTGTTCCAGCTCTTAAGGTTGTTTTACTTTCATCCTAGTGCCGTGTTTTTGCCCCCAATGATTCTTCAGTCTGATATTTGCTCTCCAGTGTCATAGAATGAAGGGCAGGCGTCGACAGGGAAAGGAAAGGAACACTTTTCTCCCCCTACTGTTCCTTCCACTGCCACGCAGGCTACAATGTTTCGAAATGCAAGGTGATGGATGCGTCCCAAACTCTCCTCGCCAGAAATTTAGATGTTTATTCGGCTTTGACTGAAAGCAAATCAGTCATTTTTGCCGCAGCCATCCGATTGGCTAAGAAGGGCCGAGGCCGTCTTTTGAAGTTTGCAGAAAGCTGAAACCTTACCGTTACGCAGTCAGGGCGAGGACAAAACTTGACGTCAAAAGAAACAGACAGCTTAATCACGTTTCGTAATGCTTAATTATCATTTCGTGTTTGAGGGCATTTTCAGAGTATGGCTGTATTTTTTACAAACTGAATGAAATGTTTCAGTATCAATATAAGAATTAGGAATTTCACGTCAGTGTGGAAATTCAGAATGATGCTCCGCTTTTCCGAAATATTTAGCCTGAGTTTACTGTTCGTTTTATCGGCTTGTTCAAATTGGGACGACACGGGCGAAGATGTGAAGGAAGTTAAAATTGGTGTTTTGCTGCCAATGACTGGTTACTGGCCGATTGGTAAAACATCTGCGTCTGCTATTACCATCGCAGTGGACAAAATTAACAATGATCCGACACTTCTACTCGGCTACAACATGACTTTCTTGTGGAATGATTCTATGTGTTTGGCAGCAGAAGGACTTAACCAAGCCGTCGAATTCAGAATCTCTGGCGTGGACGCCATTATTGGTGACGGTTGCGACATTATTTGCGAGCCTGCCGCGATTTTAGCAGCGTCCTGGAATCTGCCTATGATTTCTTGGGGCTGTGAATCGAGCAAGCTATCCGAAAAAAGTATTTACCAGACGTTTGCCAGAACGGTCGGCTCGTTCTCCAAAATGGGGGATCTCTTTATGTCCGTGCTTGGCTACTTTCGTTGGAAGAGTATCGGTATTATTGCATCAACAGAGAGCATCTGGCAGTTAGCTATGTCTGGTCTGATGAAAGTGTTTTTGGAGAACGACATAGAAATTCGCTACCTTCACACACTCAATCCAGGGCATGTGCTGGTTACGGAACGGGAGGAGTATAAAAGTATGCTGGCCCTAGCGAAAGAGACGGCACGCAGTAAGCGATACAACTAGATAATGCTTTAGACGTTTCGATTAATTTCATGGAGTCTTAATAATTTACATCACTTTCAGTCAAATTAATCGTCTTCTCCCAAACAATTCTTTAGAGTGGTTAGGGCAAAAGATTGATTGAGATGACAAAAAATGGGCAGGGGAGGGAGGAAAAGCAAGAATAACGAGGATAAAAAGATAAACTTTTATAAATTAATCATTAGAAAATGAAGAAAACAATCTCTCACGTTTTAGTTGTAGGAAAACTTAAATGATTTACAGTGACTCGCATTTTACACTTATTCACACGATGTGTGGTCATTTCCCTGTAGTCTTTGTGATGCTTTGTTACGGAGGAGACATGCGCGCTTTGATGTTGGTCGCTCACGACTTGGGCATGCTCAATGGGGACTACGCGTTTCTAACTGTCAATCTACTTCCGTCTGCCGCTATTGGAAATAACACGTTCATGGGAAACGACGGCAGAGACGCAGAGGCTGCGCTGGCGTTTAGAGGAATCTTGAGTATTTACGTCAGGGAACCAACCACAGAACTCTGGAGGTCATTCAAGGAAGATGTGAAAGACAAGATGAATGCTCCGCCATTTCAGATTCAGTTAGACGCCAGTGAACAGGTAATTCATTACCGTTCAACCACACCGAGCTGTACCTACATCAAACACCATCCTATTCCCTCTAATACGAGTTTTGGACAATCGAACGACTATGACTCTTCCTATTGGACAGGGTTACAGGGTTGGCCAAAGCCTCTGTTTTAAAGCGAGGCTAAGTGCAATGTCAATGATATGAAAATGAATTTTTATTTTCATGTAAATAAGACTCATTTTCACCCCGAAAGGCTTTGAATCTGGCCTCGTTTTGAAAGTGAGAGTCTTAGAGCTTGGAAATGTCCTATTGCCTTTTTAAGATTGCGCGGCTAGACTGGGTCGGTGTTCAGTCAAAATGCACTATGGGACTTTTGGATCCAGTTTCCTTTGTAATCTCGTAATAGACAAAAAAAAGAGGCGGTAGCTTCTTCAAAATATTCCCATAATGCAGTTCGACACAGTGAAGATCCAGTCTCCTCACACAAAATGGCCAATGACTATTGATGGAGACATGATACACAGATAAACACGTGATCAAATTTTCGCGCCATTTTCCATGTTTGCCGTTTTTCCGCTGTTGTTTTATCATTTTGGCTCGTACTCAATATGACACTGTTTCGCGTCATATTGCGAATGAAAGAATTTCAAATAACAGAAAACAGACTGTCTGCTAACACTGTTAAAGCGAAAGCAAAAGGCGCGATGATTACTACAGATGACAAACAGCCGCAGTTATTTGCTGCAGTGTTTTTTGACCACTCCATTGCTCTTAAAAGGGTTTTCTGTTTCCTTTGCAGGTTGAAGTGTACGCTGGAGCTATATATGATGCAATTTACCTGTATGCCATCGCGCTCAATGAAACTCTGGCCGCTGGCGGAAGCAAAAAGGATGGAAGGGCAATAGTACAGAGAATGCTTAACAAAGAATTTGACGGTTTGTTTCAATATAACATTTCACAAAGTCACGGATTCAGGGTACAAGAATTCCCATGATTTCTGGGATGTCTTGATGGATCAATGGTATCCATAGGCAACCATTAACCAATCATGACTCATACTGGATGCCCAAACAATCCCATTCGTCTTAGCTGCAAATGCTGGGGTTAAATCTCTTCTAATGTTCTGAAGGTTATATGTCTTATATCAATTGGATTACAGCATTCTGGGGTATTTTTAGTTGCAGTAATTTAATTGGTTATTCATCGTATGAAGACTGACACTGATACTGGAAATCATTAAATATACTTGTAATCCTATTGTCCGTTCAAGCAAGTCACTCTTGTTAGCGCGACAACACCCTCGTATCTGGCGTCCTCGTTCCCCTTCACCAGCGGTCGGGAAACGAGCGTTTCGTCAAGCCAGCATGAGCAGTATGGGGCGAAACCTCGAGGTACGAGATTGGAGATTGGCGTGACAATCGCAGACCGGAAAATTATTAAAATGAATTGCATGGAAAAAGACAGGCATCCTAAGTACATAGCGTGACATCTGACGTTTCAAAAGCATTTAACAATATATTGTTATCTCATAACGAATAATTTAAAAACAGTGGTTTCTGTTTTCCGAGGAAATTTTCATGAAGGTCATGTTCCCAACTAAATGTCAAGGCTAAGATTTTCCGTTGGTTATTATTATGTTAAAGGTGCTTCGGGCAGAGTGCGGATTGACGAATCAGGTGACCGGGACCCAGATTACTCTCTTAAATACTACCTGAATGGAAGCTTTCAAAACATTGCTGACTATAATCATTCTACTGGTGGCTTTAATCTGAGAGGTGAACAATCTTTGTGTTGTAGCTTTTGTTAACTTTCAACAAAGTCTCCTTCGTCTAATTTAATATGACGAAGGACGAAGGTCGACCTCTCGCGACTTCGTAGCGCGCTCGGCCGTTCCACGACCTAAAATACTCGCTCCGCTCCCTTTGAAACTCGTGAGGTCGACTTGTGGCAAGTCTAGCTTTTGCGGAATTTCCCCAATGTAAGGTTTTTAGCACTTTACCTCGCCTATTAAGGGCATAACTATTGGTGCATACGTTGTTAAACAGGTGTAACTGAGGCAAAGAAACATGCAAGCTACAAAACTACATTAAAATACCTTTGGTTTCAAGACCCAGTGGTCCAAATACCTGGCAAATAAAAAAAAAAATGCGTTAGAGTAATTTTAATTAACGCATGAAATACAACTTACTATTATGCACTAATTCCATTTTCTTCTTTTGTTTAGCTGTTGCTATTATTCACTAGTTGTTAGAATCTGTTTCACGGGCAGTCAAGTAAAATCACTCTAATAGGAAAGTGCTAAGTTTTCAGATGATCTAAATAGCAGTGATCAATAGTAATAATAATAATGATAATGATGATGATAACGATAATAATAATATTAAAATAATTTTTGTAAAAGTAAAATAATGGTGGCGCATGGTTTCAGAATAAATGCTATTATTACTTGACAGATGTAACAGTTATCTGGGCAGGAGGACGTACCGAGCCACCTTTGGACAAACCTAGGTGCGGATGGGAGAACGAACTGTGCTTAGAACAAGAAAGACAAGGTAAGTTTTTGGGAAAAATGTACAAGGAAAAGTTGTCTTTATTTTCTGTTTCTTGGGGTGCGTTCTGTGTATATCTGTAGAGAGTGGGACTACGGCGGTTCGACAACGTATTACCCTTAAATATAGTTTTCACTGAAGCAGTGGTCAAGCGTCTGACGCGTTTTGATTTGATTTGAAGTCAACTTTAAATACTTAAAAACAAACAGCAACTTGCAATAAAAAAAAAAAAACTCTATTGATTTGCCAAGTATGTCTTTTTGCGCTTCGTGTTTGCTTTAAACTCGAACTGTTAAATTTCCCTTATTGGTTTTTCTTTAGCTACTCAACAGTTGGTGAATGTGGTGATTGGAGCGTCCACTGCTGGTGTGGTAGTGTTAGCCTTCATGTTCTTCCTTATAATCAGGTAACATAGCCTGAAATTCATCCGATTGCTTCGAGTCGTTTTCTCCTCTGAGGGAGTAATGACTCGAAGTAATCGGATAAAATTCAGGCTACAGGTAACATGTCTTTCACTAAAAAAATCAAAGGACTTTTTTAAGGTCGTTCGGTCGATTTCGTTTAGTATCGTTTCATAACCGCCTGAGCGAGAAAATTAATCCTACTTTTAAATGATAAATTCTTGGCAATCTGTCTGTGTTAAGTGGTTAGTTTATTGAGTTATTTGCTGACCAGTCAGTAACGTTTGTATTTGGCCAAATTTCGTAACACAGCCCCTTTAAGCGCCAGTTGCAAGATATCTCTACCTGTACTTTATAAAAAATTAAACAAATTACTACGGAAATCCTCTCGTGAATATTGTTTCTCATAATTCACTTACTATGCACTGCCAAGTGCCAAGTTCTAAACCACAATAAGAGGCCTCGGACTCGCAAATCTAAAGTCCCATTCAAAATGTCTGACTCGTGGGCCCGAGAAATTGTCGAAACTTTTCAGGAAACAGGTAGCAGGGACAAAAATTTGGATGATAGAATCAAGCGTTTTCCCCGTTAGCAGGCTCTGCGTTCGTGGAGAATGCATCTATTTTCCTCCAGCCTTCGGAGATCTCACTTTAAGGACAAATTAGGTGATAATTAATCTGTGAGACGTCTCTGAAAGGAAAAACTGAGAAAATAGCTAGTTAAAAGATAGATCAAATGTTCATTTTGTAGGAAACTTCGTTACGAGACTGATCTGGCGCAGAACAAGTCCTGGAAACTTCGTTATGAAGACTTACACATTGAGGAGCGTGGATCAGATGAAATACAAACAAAGGGAATGACCACATTCAAACGAGAAAAAACCATGGTAAGGCATTTGTACTCAGTCTTGATCAGTAACAGTAACTAATATTTACTTAGTCGTTTTCCTCATGTATTTTTTCGCTTTTCTTTATTCATTTTATTCCATGTAAATTGCTGCTCATCTGTTTGCGCAATTAATAAAGACCTTTATTATTATTATTATTATTGATGTTCAAAGCACTTTCACCTAGTTTTTTCCTCAGCATTACGGTGCAATCTCTGTTTCCGGTCGATACTCCTCAGGCACGTTTTAAGGCATGGGTCACCTCATAATTTGCATAATTTGGCGAAGTGGCATTTGAAACGGATTGTTTTGATCAGTCGTCATAAAACTTGGCAAACAGTTTTAGCTCGGTAGCCTTAACAATATGGGACATATTCATCGTTCAAATATTAGTCACGTGACCTGCAAAAGATCGTTAACGTTCAAAGTGTTTAAATTGAAACGGGGGAAAGGAAATGAAAGAGCAGCAAATATTCTTAGGCACCAGAGTTTTTCCCATGGCCTGGGTATTTAACAATTATTCCTTGAGCCCGAATGGGATCTGAGTCAATAGCCCATGAGGCCGAAGGCCGAATGGACTATTGACTCAGAGGCCATGAGGGCGAGAGGAATAATTGTTTTAGTAAAATCCAACTAGTTGGTCAAAAATATCGAGAATAAAAAAATTTTAGCTAGCGAAAGCTAGACTTTAGTCCTTTTTTGCCGCCAAAAAGCGCGCGCTATTCGCTACTAGTAGGTTATAACATATAGCCTAGTAGTAGCTCAACCAATCAGAACGCAGCATTGATAATAGACAACTAGTTGGATTTTACTAATATGAAATAGTCCAGCATGTATGCCTAAGTGGAGCAAGGATTACGAGATAAAAAAAAAACAGGTCAGGTGACTTATAAAAGACTTAAATAACTCTTAATAAAAATGCTTTAATCCACCTTAGTAGTATACTATGTTGAAACTTAACCCCGTTGGTGCCTTCCCTTCCGTATGCCTTCCCTTAATTGATATGCATAAGCCTATGACGTCACCTCGGAAAGAAGTGTCTTCCTGCATACTAATTTGGATTAGGTTTACTAATGAGCGTCACTCTACTACAATAGGAACAATAGGCTTGCCTAGACTTGCCCGGGCTCTTTTAACCCTGATTGGATAGTAAACAATCTATTATGTGTTCAACATAAAAGCGCGCTCTCCGTTCAGCATTTTATTATTGTTACAAACTCCAATAAATAATATTTTTGAGCGGATAGCTTCCAAACATACTAGTCAACGGTCCGAAAACAGTACTCGACTTAAAACTATTCACTGTGACCAAAGATAAATATTTTTATTCTACAAGACCATTGATTCTGTTTTGTCAATATAATTCAACCTTCAAACGTTTCTAGACTGTGGTATCGAGCGTTAATCATTAACAGGTTGGCCTTTCATCGCAAACTAATTTAATAAACACTGAGCCAACATGAACGCTTGTCGCATAAATTATCCACGGGAATCAACTCAAGTATATATAAACAATGGTGGGATTAATACGCGCGTGCTACAACCAGACTACACCTTTGTTTCGGTTAAAAAATACATTTATTGATAACAAAACCATCAACGTGTTACAACAATAGATGAATAGACAGAGTTCCGGCTTAGTCTTCGGGAACAGTTTGTTTGACAAACAATCGATTGAGTAAGAATTTCCGCTTATCGATGGCAAGTTCTGTCGATTCCAGCCAGTCATATCCTTCCGTGTCTTTGAGATCTTGGCGGGTTTCCATCACTTTTCGGAATGTCGGATCTTTCTTCATTGCATGCATCCACTGTAAAAGCTCTAAGAACACTTTTCTCAATTCCTTTCTATATACTGGAAGCAAAGCATTTTCAGCTTTAATTCGGGCCACTTCAGGCGAGTCTCCGTTTTGTTCATACTCGTTGATCAGAGCTTCGAGCTGGGCTTCGTGGCGATTACAAACTTCATTTTGAATGCGTGACCAAGGATCTACATGCTCCTCCTCCTCCTCTCCGGAAGAGTCCATTTCTTCGCTAGATTGAGAACTTTGAGATGATTGTTCGCTTTCTTGTGAGCTTTCAATATCGTCGTCATCATCTTCAAAATTTCCATATCCTTTTTGAACGAAATGATTATAATTGCTGAACATTGTGATCCGAACTGCACGAGGTTTAAGAACTGACTGAATCAGAAACAGCGGCTTACTTCTTTTATAGCTATCGATGGAGGCACGGCTGCAAAGCACAACGGAACTCTATGAACTTTCATTGTACCCCTCCTGTACCCCTACTGTACCCTTCTGTACCCTTCCTGTACCCCTACTGTACCCCTCCTGTACCCCTCCTGTACCCCTACTGTACCCCTCTGTACCCTTCCTGTACCCCTACTGTACCCCTCCTGTACCCTTCCTGTACCCCTCCTGTACCCCTCCTGTACCCCTCCTGTACCCCTCCTGTACCCCTACTGTACCCTTCCTGTACCCCTACTGTACCCCTCCTGTACCCCTCCTGTACCCCTACTGTACCCTTTCTGTACCCCTACTGTACCCCTCCTGTACCCCTCCTGTACCCCTACTGTACCAAAACAAAAATGAGGAGGAGGAGCAGGAGGAGGAGGAGGAGGGAAAACAATAAAAATGAGGAGGAGGAGGAGGAGGGAATTCAATTGAAATGTGGTGGCGGTGGTGGTGGTGGTGGGAAAACAATAGAAATGTGGCGGTGGTGGTATATAGCTTCACTATTTACGAAGCAGTGTTAAAAAAAAGTTGAGTGTAGGGTCGATGTGGGGTCGATGTAGGGTCGATGTAGGGTCGATGTGGGGTCGATGTGGGGTCGATGTAGGTTCGCTAGGAGGTCGATGTATTTGTGGATGGAAAAATATATAGAATAAATGAGGAGGTGGAGGTGGAGGTGGAGGAGGGGAATAAAAAAACATTGAGGAGGGAAAATAATAAAAATTGTGGAGGAGGGAATAAAAACATTGAGGAGGGAAAATAATAAAATTGTGGAGAAGGGAAAAAGAAAAAATTGAGGAGGGAAATAAAATTGAAAAGGGAGAGGGGTAAGTAAAACATGACTTGCTTTCTTTGACTGTTTTAATAGATTTCTTTCAAATCGCTGTGTATTTGACTCTTTTTGTTTTAAACGGTATCTCGTGTCAGATTTTATTGCTAGCAATTATTAGTCGCGTGTTTTAATTGATCCTTGTTAAGTTATTTGTTTATAATAATACGTCAAGGTGCTCCCTTGGGTCTTTCCTGTAGAGCAAATTTGTATTCAACTTTGGGCTCGTGAACTCGCATAATTAACTGACTAACAGTGCGTGAAATTACAAGACTTTAATAGTTTTTCATTTCCTCGAGATAGAACGGAGAAAACGTCAGACAAAATTGAAATAGAGTTTTCAGTTCTACTTTGTGAGTTTTAGAGCTCTATAAGAAGACATAAACTAAACGGAAATAAAGACTTTTCAACTCCACTTTGTGCACATGTGTTTTGTTTATATATCTGAGTTTTAGCGCTAAATAAGATATAGGAAGCCGTTTCTCGCGTTGCTAGGTGATCGCTTCTCTTATTCCTATTTTCCTTTTAATAGACTGTCCGAAAACCGAGCTCAAGTTACTTCACGGGCAAGTCTAGGCAAGCCTATTGTTCCTATTGTAGTAGAGTGACGCTCATTAGTAAACCTAATCCAAATTAGTATGCAGGAAGACACTTCTTTCCGAGGCTTAAGCATATCAATTAAGGGAAGGCATACGGAAGGCAAGGGAAGGCACCAAAACGGTTAAGTTTCAACATAGTATACTACTCACCTTGCAAGGATAATTGACAATTCAGACAGTTTCGCTGACAATTTGATGACAAGTATTTTTAGGCTGAAGTTTAATGTTTTATTCCTAAAGGGTCTGAATTGGGTACAACATTGAGCTAGCCGAATAGGTCTATTGCGTTGATATCAGGGGTGGGTTTAGTGAGAGTTTTAGCAGTCGAGGGTGGGGAAGGAGGTTTGGAGGCTGAGCTATTACTTTTAAACTCCACTTTCCGGGTCTAAAGGCCCCATCTTACCTCCTCCATGTTATTTCTCGACTCAATGTTACTGACGTTTAGCAATGTTTTTTTCTGTTTGTCTTTTTGGGTATATAACTGAGAAGGTAGGCTGATAGTAAGGTGGTCCAAGGCGATAAGGGATCTTGATCACGTGACCTCTGGGACCGTTTGGGAATCAGATTAGGGAGCTTCAGCAGCCATGACGACAACGGCAACGAGAACTTCTAAAATCAATTAGTTTTATGAGCAAAACCACAGTTCTGCACGTGCATCACGCTTTTTAGAACATTCCTTTGAATGCTTGACTGTTCGACTACGACGTGAAACCTCCCAATGCGACGTTTTATGGATGACATAAATACACGACGATAAGTTTTCCTTTCTCTTTTTGAACCTGGATAAAGTCCTTAAGAATTCAACTCCAGGAAACATCGGTTACATTTGACAAATTGACCGGGTCCAAATAGACGCGACAACGGTTTGAAAGAAAGCAAAATCATTTTTAGCGATGCTTTTACTAGACTGCTAGCAGTCTCTCTTTTTCTTCCGGTTTAGTAAGGGGAGTGCACGCGCGCGCGAGCGGCGAAGCCGCGAGACGCGCGAAACGAGGGCGGCAATCTGGGTGCCTCTCCCATCTCGCGCCATCAGTCTCGCGCGTGGCCATTTGCGTGTCTCGCGTTTTGCTCGACGGACTACAGAAAAAAGAGAGACTGCTCGTAGTCTATGTTTTTACCGTCGTCGTCGTTTCTTAAGCTTCCTATTTATCACACAAATGCGTCAAATTTTTCAGAACAGTAAAATGACAAAACTATTGCGGTGCAGTTTTCAACTTGGATAACCGACTAGCTGTAACTATTTCAGCAGGATGAAAGCAACGAACAGCTAAACCGAGGAGGATCCGTAAAACTCAAACCTTTCGCAAGCCCTCCAAGCAACGAGAGTAGCGCCAGCACATCCGGGGGACACATTGAACAAATTTTCACAACCATCGGAAACTACCAAGTAAGAAATATAGCTACACTGATGCTGAGCTTAAGCGCGAATGCTTGTATTTACCTTGAGTGTGGTATGACAAAGAATCAAGCAAGCGGAACCAAGAGAAGTCCAGCTGAATTGGGAGTCCTAGATTCTCTGTTCTCAGCTATCTGTTACTAGTAAAATCCAACTAGTGGTCTATTATCAATGCTGCGTTCTGATTGGTTGAGCTACTACTAGGCTATATGTTAGAGCCCACTAGTAGCGAAAAGCGCGGGCTTTTTGGCGGCAAAAAGGGATTAAAGTCTAGCTTTAACTAGCTATTTTTTTTTATTCTCGATATTTTTGACCAACTAGTTGGATTTTACTAAAACAATTATTCCTCCCGCCCTCATGGTCTCTGAGTCAATAGCCTATTCGGCCTTCTGCCTCATGGGCTACTGACTCAGAGCCCATTCGGGCTCGAGGAATAATTCGCCTCTTTAGAAACAAGAAATCTGGAGCGGAAATGCGTCCCGCAATTGTTGATGGGATCGCTCTGGGGACGCGCCAATCAGCTATTAGCCAATTTTTTCCCCGTCCCTAGTGACAGTCTCAGAAAACTTTGCGAAAGCTAACTCGGGCCACCTTATCGTTTCGAAAGTGGCGAAAAAGTTAAGTTATTTAATTCTAAATGCTACAGTAACTAAAAATAACGGTCACAGCGTCACACAAGACAGGTATTGTTATGGGAGTGCTATGGCCTCTTAGAATTAACCTGGGATCAGGCTCCATTTTCGTTTCGCTTTGTAAATAACATTCCGGCGGGCATGGCGAAACGAAAAGAGAGGCCCAATTTTAGCGGTGGCCGTTAGAGAGAATGTATGAGAACCGTTCAAATTGGGCCTGATCTCAAGTTACTTAGAATAGACAAAATAGGTGGTGAAATAGCGTATCTTAGTATGTGTCTATGAAGTTCCAAGACATTTCTCCTGCTCATCAGTCCGAAAAAAAGCAGCTTAATCGTAAGAAAACAACAGTGTATCAAAGGAAAGTTAAACCATCTCAGTCAGCTGATAGTACGTTAGAATGTTGACCACCTAACACTATTGAAACAATCCAGATTCTCTGTATTTACTTTTTGAGTTACGAAAATTCAGTGCTAATAATATCACCACATTAAAGATCAGATAGTGTTCACTGTACTTAGCGTGTTAGAAGTCATGAACATGTATGCCTCGCGTAACCCAGTTTTGGCTTACGTCTCCTCGATCCTACTATGTACTTCTAGGGTCGAACTGTGGCCATCAAAAGACTGAACAAGAGAAGTGTTCATCTCACTAGAGAAGTTCTTATTCAACTCAAACAGGTGATATCAACTTTTCTTACTTTCTACTTTTATTGCATGAGCGTGTTATTAATTATTTGAATTTTCACAAGCCAGAGAAAAACAGACTAAACATATGCGAAAATGAACCTACGTTGCATCGGTATTCATCTCACGATGACACAGTCTTTCTTCAAGCAAAAATTTAAGATTACTTTTTAATGTTGTTTTCATCTAAGTGGTGAAATAATTAGCTATAGTTTTGGTTTTGGATAGTTTTGGATTGGATTTTCATTTGATTGAAAACTGCTTTATTTTGCTCAGTTATTCGGGTATCTGAGATTTCTTTCTCAATTACAGGTGCGAGACATCACACATGAAAACCTAAACCCGTTTATCGGAGCCTGCATCGAGTCACCCAACATCATGTTGGTTTGGTCGTACTGCAAAAAAGGAAGTTTGCAGGTAACGTGTTTCATTTCTTCCCTTCGATTTTATTTCAATCGCCTAGATCCTTCCACGGTTTTTTGATTGGAACCAGTCAGCGAAAATCCGTTAACACAACAGGAGAGAACGCCTTAAGAGTAGCAAAGTTGCCAAGATTGAAAGTGATTTGTTGAAAACTAACGAAGATATAGCTTTGCATAGTCGCGGAAGTTTAGAGACGTTTGTTTGGTGGTGCAAAGGGTAGGTGCAAAGTCTTTAGGGTGTGAAATTGGTTGGTTTTTCTTATTCAAATAAAATTGATTTTCACATGAAAGATTTTGCTCTTGGCCTCATTTCCAAAGCGAGGGTTTTTGAAACTGAGAAATGGCTGCCCCGTACCCAGACGTCTCTCTCTCGATGCGCGCAAAGGAAGGCGGGAAGGAGAAAACGGGCTTCGCCTCTCGTTTTTCACCTTTCATTGAACCGCTGCGCTTCGTCACCAGTCAATCGCGTGTCACTCGCGTTTCGCGCTCTCCTTCTCTGTGCGAAAAACGAAGCACCTGAGGAGGAGGTTGGAGAAATAACCTGTTTGGTTATAGCCTAAGAAAACAGCTGACATTTTGCAACTCTACTGGTGGTTTCCCCGCGAAACGACGTCCGAAAAATTAGCGCAGAAATTCCATACTGAAAACGCGTCACTACCCAGATCTGGGTAGCTCTTCTGATTAATTAGAAATTTGCTTTAACCAATCAGAAGTACTACTGTACTGTATTCTAACAATCAGTTTTTCTTCATTAGGATGTCCTGGCAAACGATGAATACAAAATCGATTATGGATTCAAACTGTCAATGGCAATTGACATAGCTGCGGTAATCAAAGTTAATTAATAACTCTTACCACAATGAAGCATGGCTACATGGCATCTACGATCAGCAGGTGGTTTTATACCTGAAAGTAAAAAGTGTTTAGCTATCTTCTCTTGGCGGTGAATCACCTTGAGCGTTATAAAAATAATTGGCAGCTTTGTTTATGCTCTCGATCATAATTTCTGTAATTTGGGAAGTAAGGGGACCCTCTCTGAGTCAAGGGCTTACCCGTACCCTAAAGTATCCATGGAAAAAAAACCTGTTAGATGTTAGATGTTAGCACACAATTTTTCAAAACTTATTCGATAGAAGTGCTCGATGTACCTTGCGCTGTTGGTAATAGTCTTCAATAAAATTTAGAAAACTATTAACCCCGTCAAGTTTTCGTTGGTCTCCACCAACAGATCGTCTAATCGCTTTATATAAACCAATGTGAGATGTCAGACTTACCCATACATATTTTACAGAGAATGCAACGTTATCGTTCAATTTTGCAGTGATCTGTCCATAAGTTAATTAAGAGCAGTTAAAATCCAAAATGTTGTTTCAGGGTAACTATTAGCACACATGAAATTAATATAAAATAGTATCAAGTATCAAAAGGCACATGAAATGAAAATCCCACTTTTCAACCGATGTACGTGTTTCAAGTTATGACTGAAATATTTCTTTTTCATTCTAGGGAATGAAGTACCTTCACAACACTGCTGTCAGATTCCATGGAAACCTGACGTCATCTCGGTGTGTGATTGACAGTCACTGGGTTGTGAAGATCACCGACTGGGGTTTGCACGCCTTCAAGGCTGGACAGGAAAAAGTCAATGTAAATCCAAAGAAGGTTTATACAGGTACATTTTCAAGAAAAAAAGACGTTAAGGTGACTCCTTCTGAATCAAAAGAGTGGGAACAATTTTGCTTTTGTTCACCTACATTTGACCACTTTTAGAGAGTTCCTTTACGATTAGAACGTTGCTTGACCTGTTACTGGAACGTATCATGACAGCAAAGGTAGAGGTAGAAGACAGCTTGTGTACAGCCCCTTCCCCTCCCCTTTGGAAGAAATAGGGAAATTGACCTCTCTACCGGTGATTTTTTTCCTGAGGGGAGGGGAAGGCTGTATATAGGCTAACGCAGAAGAAACTAATGCGTAAAGACTGCAAAGCTTGTAGGGATGGAAAGTATTGGCTTCATTCATGTGCACAAGTTGGACTCCCTTGCCAAAATGTTTTGGAACTACCCTTTCACTAGAGAGGTAACAATCAGAACTTGACAACCCATATTGTTATATTCCTAGAATTTCACTCAACTAAACAGGGACTGCCATTGGTTGATTCTTGGTCATGTGGCCTTGACTGAAATCAAATGTATCCCGATCGTGATACATTATACACTTAATGTCAGATCCCAAGGGAAACAGTTAGTTTTGTTTTCCCGAGAGTCCTGATGTTTCCCGAGACGAAGTCGAGGGAAACATCAGGACTCGAGGGAAAACAAAACTAACTGGTTTCCCGAGGGATCTGACATTAAGTGTTTTGTTATATTTCTAGAACTTTCACTTCAACAGCAACAAAAGAATAACCGGAGCGAACGAAAACGAACCAAAACAGTCGACTCGGTACTTATAACAACACAAATTTATTTCTCAAAACCACTGAATGAATGATTTACAAACAAAAGTACTTTCCTTATATCATCTGCATCTTTTTCCTCCACTAGCTGCTGCTTTTCTTCTGGGATCTTCTGGGATAACTTTAAAAATCGTTGCTTTTTAGCTTGAGGCTTCGTGATTGTGTTGTTGTGTTCATTCACGAAAAAGAAAACCGGCATGACCTGGCGGTGTTTTTCCCGCCTTCTGTCACGCCACTTTCTACCATGCTTTGATCACGTGCTGCAATGTATCCCGAGCGGAATACATTGTTTAATGTATCACGATCGGGATACATTTGATTTTAGTCAAGGCCACGTGACCAAGAATCAACCAATGGCAGTCCCTGTTTAGTTGAGTGAAATTCTAGGAATATACCAATAAACAATGTATTCCGCTCGGGATACATTGCAGCACGTGATCAAAGCATGGTAGAAAGTGGCGTGACAGAAGGCGGGAAAAACACCGCCAGGTCATGCCGGTTTTCTTTTTCGTGAATGAACACAACAACACAATCACGAAGCCTCAAGCTAAAAAGCAACGATTTTTAAAGTTATCCCAGAAGATCCCAGAAGAAAAGCAGCAGCTAGTGGAGGAAAAAGATGCAGATGATATAAGGAAAGTACTTTTGTTTGTAAATCATTCATTCAGTGGTTTTGAGAAATAAATTTGTGTTGTTATAAGTACCGAGTCGACTGTTTTGGTTCGTTTTCGTTCGCTCCGGTTATTCTTTTGTTGCTGTTGAAGTGAAAGTTCTAGAAATATAACAAAACACTTAATGTCAGATCCCTCGGGAAACCAGTTAGTTTTGTTTTCCCTCGAGTCCTGATGTTTCCCTCGACTTCGTCTCGGGAAACATCAGGACTCTCGGGAAAACAAAACTAACTGTTTCCCTTGGGATCTGACATTAAGTGTATAGTGTCTATCCTCGGGGAAGACTTGTATTGGGGCCTAACTTTGTTGGGCTTGCTTTACCAGGCTAATATGGCTAACTGTTAGAAATCTAATTTCTAAAAAATTGTACACTTTATCTTAAATTTAAACAGACCTTCTGTGGACCGCACCAGAGCATATCAATATAGCCAAGGTTGAGCGAGAGGGTTTTTCACAGAAAGCTGACGTGTACAGTTATGGAATACTCTTGCAGGAGATGGCTACTCGTTCAGAGCCGTTCAGCGGATGTCAGCTGGAACCCAAAGGTTCGAGGGTTAAATTAAGCTTTCAGGCGGGCAGCTGACTCGTCCCCAGTCGTCTCTCTCTGTCTCTCCTTAGTGGCGCCAGGGGTGTGATGGGAAGGAGGAAAGCAAGGGAGAGAGACGTCCTTCCTTTTCCCTTCCCATCACCCCCTGCTCCCGCCGCGCGCGTTACGCGAAGACAGGGCGGGCAGGTTTATTTTGCGGATGCCGCTGACGGATCTTCGTCGTTTGCAACCACTCTGTCAGGAGAGCGACACACTAAAAAACTCTCAGCTTTGAGCTAGGTTTTGATTACGTGCTATGCAAAGTTGTTATCAAACCAGAACGAAGCCGCCCCGTCCCTCACTCCCCAATAAATGTTCCTTTGTCTAAAAAACAGTTGTACGATTCTAACTCAAAGTCAAATCTCAGCCTCGTAGTCGCGAATCTTAAGGTCCCTATTATTTGCTCAGACCACCACTCTACACAATATATCGCTGTAATTTTTTTACACAGAAATCATTCATAGGGTAGTTATGCATGAAGACCCGCCATTTCGCCCTAACATTCCTTGCATTGAGATAAAGCCAGAGTATATTGATCTGATGGTGGATTGCTGGAATGATGACCCAGAGGAACGACCACACTTTTATCGAATTGTGGAGAGGCTCAAGAAAATCAGTGGCAGGTAAGGTTTTAGTCTTATCGTATTTGAGGCACACAATAATGGTTGATAGAGATCTGGGTTTTGCTTCTCCATAAGGAGAAATATTTGATTGGATCCTGTAAATTAAATTTCGCCATCGATCCCTTGCACCGAGATTACACATGAACCACATTATCAGCAGCTAGACGAGTCAGCGTCGGCTATACACTATTACGAGCCCATAACCCGGGAGCAAGCAACTTTCATGTACCCGCATAATGGTGCACGTCTTTTCACAAATTAGTTTCTTTTTAGAACGACTTTTGCTTGAATTAAAAATATATCTTGTAAGTCTCCCAACCCAGTCATTTAAACCCTCAGACCTGAAAATGGTAGTTTTGAACTTTTAATGACGTGTAGGTTTCTTTTTTCCTCTTACTCTTCCAACGGGCACATAGACGGAGCGGAGCATTTATTTCCGCTGGAAAAAGTGCCACAAAATGTTTCTAAGATAACACCAGTCCATGAAAACGCCGCGACATAGGTCTTATATGGACGTTGCTCACCCCGGTTTAAGAACTGAAGGCATTATTATGTGTTCCCCTCATACCGATCGAGTAAGGAGCCAAACCAAATAGAAGAAGAGAAAAAAAGAAAAAAAAAGGTGTAAGTTTTACTCTCTTGCAACCAGTTGCTGAATTACGGAGCTAGGGACCAGAGAGGTGAGACCGAACGTCGTATGGGGCCTGTGCATTCCTTTCCAGACTAGATAGCCTGGCAGCTGTCAGCCAAAAAAAACAATAAATACTTGTCATGTCGAAAATCGTAGGGTTAACCTATCACTAAATGGAAATCATTTATGGTTCTTTTCTTCTTGTTTTTTAGGGGATCAAACATCATCGAGAACATGGTTACTATGATGGAGAAACATGCTAATCATCTTGAACAGCTAGTAGAGGAAAGGACCAGGCAGTTAAACGAGGAGAAAGAAAAGACCGAGAAAATCCTCTGCCGATTACTGCCACCGTACGTATTAAACTTACTAAACCCCTCGTCAGGGGCGGATCCAGGATTTTTTTTTAGGAGGGGGTGCACTCGTCTCTTGCTCTACTTCAACACCAATAACCCACAGATTCGAGGACGAGGAAGACTACATGTAGGCGACGAGATGTTTTCAATACTAAGTAGTGCGGGGGCGTGAACCAGCGTCATTTCGACGGGAAAACGTGATAGTCGTCGTCATTCCTACTACGACTTTTAGTGAGAATTTCGCAATGGCGGAAGCAAGTAATGTGGCTTTTGCGATAGGAGCGAGAGTACCGAACCAAAAACAACATTTTTATGAAAAAAATAACGTAACATACCCTCGTCGATTCTACATTCCGGAGAAATGAATAAATTTTTTGATATTAGTACTACACGTAATCAAGAGAAAATGAGCCTTTTTTGACTTCGTACATCTCTTTCTCTGTATAGAATATTTACCATCGGCTCCCAATCACGGTTTTACTCTTGGTCTCCGAAAGACCAAATAATCCGTACCTTTATAAATATAGCAAAAACGTCGTTTTGTCCCTTTCCTGGACCTTTAAGAAAGTTTTTATGGTAAATCCCTTATTAAGGCGAGACCTTTGTTTAATTTCAGTTTGGTACTAGAACAGTTGAAAAGCCATAATTCCGTGCAGGCTGAAGAATTTGAAGAAGTCACCATATTTTTCAGCGATATCGTTGGCTTTACGAAACTTGCTTCTGTCAGCACACCATTGCAGGTAACTAGTTTAAAGAACAAACTACAATCATGGAAAAAGCTAGTCTCGGGAAAAATTTGTAGACTCTTTCCTAACCTCTTGCCCACACAAACAACGTTGGAAGTGTGTATTACGAATTTTCCCGCGTTTCAACATGGTATAGGGTTGGTGGAGGGAGGACTGCAAGGCATTTTTGATAAGATTGCTAGCACTCGTTTTATGAGAGCAACCAGAAGTTACAGACTGAGTTATGAATACTGCATCACTGTCCAACGACTTTGTTCAACATTTCGTAGACCCTAAAACTTGAATTATTCATTTCTAATAGAGACTGATGTCCACATAGAGGTTGATATTTGGGGAACATGCAGATTATTTCTGTAGTTATCATTACAACAAATTTAAGATTTCCTCTTTTTGAGAGGGGACCACCTTTGTCACGCACCACCGAATTATTCGAACGAGCTGCTTCGCAGAGGAGTGATTCACCCTCCGTTATCTAAAGATCCAGAGTGCGGATCCAGCCAGAATTTGTCCCCACAAACTACAACTCGGCATAGCTGCGTTTTATCTTAATGTAGACTTTTTAAGGCAACAATTTCTTTTTCTTCTGTTCTCCTGGCAGTTCATTCACTTAATTAATGGAGAAATTTAGAATGGAAAACGTTAATTCGTACCACATGAAAAAGTTTTCTCGTTATTTTTCGTCCATTTTCTTATTTCTACACACAAATAAATACAGTTTCATGTTAGGTTTATCCACGAGACTTACTTTGCAACGTTTTTAACTGTTTATTTCCTTTTTCAATTGAGAAATCGTCATGTAGAATCTTACGTTTGTTGTTTGCCATAAACTGTTCTAAATCTCTCCATTGTTTCACTTTGCAGATTGTGGACTTTTTAAACGATTTATACGTGGCCTTCGATGAGATCATTTGCCGCTTCGATGTTTACAAGGTACCGGAAATCTAATGCTCGATTCTAGCTGAATAAAGTAAAAAAGACGCCGTTTTTAACTGGAAATCACAGTGACCTGTCTTCCTCGCGTCATATCAGCCTCAGTAGATTATTTATTGCCTAGTCCCTAGGGCTCATTATTCCGCGCGGCCAATTTGTTTCGGGTCGCCCGTTCGCCTCGGATACGTCATCGAAGTGAATTGACCGAGAAGGCCTGGGAAATCACCGTACAGGGACTAGGCAAGGTTAATTTCTGTTCTCATCTATCAGTGTCTTTAGCAAGGGCCTGAACTCCTAGCTCAGATAATAATCATTCACAACCAAATGAAAGCGGAAGTCTCTTCTCATTATCATTATCACAATCTTCCTTTCTTGATTGGAGCCTTTTTAAAAAAATTCTTTTAAAAGAAAAAAATTTTTATTATCCGAATTCTGTTTTTCCATGTGAACCTCGGCTCCGGTATGCTGTCCCTCAGAACGGTCAGCCTACACAGGTTAATGTCCCTTTTAGTTTTTCGAAGATCAATAGATCAGTCATTTACGACGTCGACGCATATCATAGCCGGATCCAATCACTAAGTTGCGTATTGCCTGGGACTCTGAACAGTCATCAAATTTCGTTAAACACTAATTATAAACGAAAACTGAGTATCTTTCCAGTGTCACACGCAGTCTCAACCAACTAATCAAACTTCCCGATTTGTGTACTTTTTCTCTCCATCCCAAAAGTTGCGACTCTCGTTCTTTAATACTTGAATCAATATTCTCGGCTAGATGGCTTTCACAGAGCTCGTAAAATCTTATTTCAGAGCCGAGTTTGAGTAAACCCAATAATGGTTTGAAATTTTTTATCAGGTGGAGACAGTCGGCGATGCGTACGTAGTTGTCAGCGGTTGCCCCATGTTGAATGGTATCAAGCATGCTGGTGAGATAGCAAGTATGGCTCTGGAGCTTCTTAGTCACATGGCGGTGTTTCGTGTACGTCATCTGCCAGAACATCAACTGCAGCTGCGTATTGGCATACACACGGGTAAGCAACCTCGTCCCAAACTCCTCTCTCTTCATTTCGACCCCGGCAAATACTAATGAGCCTCTATGGTGTGAGTCATGAGATCAGGAGAAAACTTTTCCTCACTTATGTAGAAAAATTATCAAATACTTATTTTGTTTAACTGAATTTTTACCAGCCAGACTTTGGCGGAGAATACTGCTGACTATAGTGACTAAGGTGAAGATCATCATTCATACATTGCTTGTATAAAATAGTGTCCAAATATTTGGTTGGGCCCTTATTCTAGATGAACTAGATTCTGATCTTTCTTCTTGTTAAAGGACTCGTTTAGTTATTGTTTTGAAAGCAACTGATAATCAATACTTTCCTAAACTACAAGAAAAGGAAACAGAACGTATTATAAATCCCAGCCTAGTCTATAAGACGCGGCTCTGAGAACGTATGCTATTTCGTTTGATTCCACTCTGTACCAAGAGTACCCCATGTGGCCCTAATAACGAACAATGATTTATTAATCTGGGATATCGCTGTCCTTTGCAATATTGTGATTGCAGGCCCAGTGGTGGCAGCGGTTGTCGGTGTGACAATGCCACGCTTCTGTCTTTACGGTCATACTGTTAACATCGCTTCCAAATTGGAGAGCACCAGCATGCGTAAGTACTGCTTGCAACAGAAACGCTATGATGTTGAAGATTTATACCAAGCGTTAGAGAGAAAGTGTAGAGCTTAGCTCCGGGCGCTCCATATTCGGCCATAGAAGTGGTCTTGAGGTGAATTGATTTAGAGTTGAAAGGAAGAAATTAATGCAAAAATTTTCGGCTAATCACACAACAATCATGAAAAACCAAATAAATGATCCAAGAAATTTAAATCAACAAAATGAGCTGAATTTTGTTATCCTTTTCAATTAAAAACGCTTTGATTTCTATTCTCAATTTTTTCTCTTTCTGAGAAACTCTTAACTCAAAGGAAATTATCGTCAACAAAAACGGCTCTTTTCACATTTTTTTTAACGCGCGAGATCCCGTTTTTAGACTTCTACTGTAGCCAGCTATATTTCATGTTTTTTTTGTTTTTCTCCTGTAGCTTTGAGAATTCACGTCAGTAATGAATCGCATGCAAGGTTGGTAGAACTTGGAGGGTTTTACTTCGAGGAAAGAGGACAGGTTCAAATCAAGGTAACATTGAGGGTTAACCCTTTCTAGGCCTTGCGATCACTAGCCTTGCGATCACTAGCAAGACATCAGTGTCGTTATTAGCTAATCATTTTTACTAAATTTCCCTCTTCTAGTGTTAGTGAAAGCACAGATATGGGTTTAAGGCTACCAAAATATAAATTAAAGTTTCAAGGAGTTTTCAAAGACATATTTACACCCTTCAAGCAGGTTTAATTTCCGATAACTTATCGAAACTTTATTGTAACAACGGAAATAATGATGACCTGCTAAAATTAGCTTTATGTTTTGTTTTGCTTCCTGACAGAGGCAGGGCCTGGTGACTACTTACTGGTTGGTTGGCAAGGAAGGTTTTGACAAAGTCTTACCTGACCCACCACTGGACGGTGGTGAATTGACCATGTTTGAAACATTGGATGTTTATTATGCCAGCTAAACTACTAACGCAAATAGAGAATCAACCCAGTACTGAGGCTTTCTTTGCTCATTTAGGCCTAGATTCTACCTGAAGTGAGGACTTTATGGAGCAAAACTAACAGGACTCTAACAGAGGAAGCTTTGTTACTAGGTTGTGATGAATCAAAACTGGAATGTCTACATGTAAATAAAAAAAGTAACAGAAATGAAAAAAAAAGGAAAAGAAAAAATGAAAACAAACTTGCTATGTCTCATTGAAATATTAGAGACCTTTAGATTCTATAAGACGAGGACAAGAACGAAATTTCCTCAATACTATTTAAGTACCTTATTCTCCTTAATTTTCGCGGGTTCTTAAATTCGCGATTTTAAAAAATTCGCGAACTTAAAGACCCGCGAAAAATAACGACCGCGAACTTTGATCTCGCGAAATTTAATGGACATAGAAAATCATGTATTTGAGTTTTCAAGGGTCCTCAACAATTTTTAACACAAGGTGTTAGTACAAGGAGCTATCATCTAACAACTTTAGATGTTAATTTTTAAAATTTTTCAAACTAAACTAGTGAGCAGCACTCTGCGAACTGTTGCTGTAAAACTTGTTTATTACTTATTTTAGCTAAAACCGTGGCCTCAAAGTTTTCTCACGCCTTGCGTAAAAAAATTTCACAGCTGCGCCTGTTCCTTTTCGTAAATCCGGCAAAACCTTCAATGTTTGCGACCATCATTAGTTTTAGTCATATTATGGCTTAAATACAGGCGTTTACTACTTGATTGTAAAACTCCCTGAAGAAGTTTACGTTAGTTAGACGAAACGCGTAGGAGAATAAACAAGTTTTACAGCAACAGTTCGCAGAGTGCTGCTCACTAGTTTAGTTTTAAAAAATTTAAAACTTGTCACATCACTAAAGGGTGGGAAAAGACTGGCATCGCCCAACTATTAGATGAATCGTTTAGTCTTCCCCGTAAGGATCCATTTGAAGAGACTGAAGGTTCTGTTGAGATCTCCTAGAAAGGACATGTAACGATACTCTCGATACCCCATGACGACTCGGAAGAACAAGAAGACTTTTTTTATTACTGTAAGACTGACTTTTAGAGGAATACGGCTGCCGCTAAGGGACAGCATATTGGTTTTGTTTCAACTGTTGATTAACGTACAATTTTTGTAAAAAAGAAAAAATAAAGTCACTTAATCGTCAATTTCGCGAAATTAAATTCCCTGCAAACACAATTTTTCTCCGCGATCGCGAAATTAAAGATTCGCGAAATGTGCCGAGAAAATTTTCGCGAAATTCAAGTCCCGCGAAAATAAAGGAGAATAAGGTAGTGCGAGCGCAGGTGGACCGCGTCATTTCGGCGGGAAAACGTGATAGCCTTCTACTACAGATTTTAGCGAGAATTTCGTACAGAAACAATGAAGTTAACAACTGTTAGAAGATTTATCACTATGCGATCGAGAGGGGGATAAACCTCCTTCAATAAAAGCACAATGAAGCTTTCCGAGATGAATATTTTTTTGAGAATACGCGAAAAAATTCTAAGTTAAATCTCGTCCTCGTCTCCCTATTCACTGACAGACTGATTCGAGTTCCATTTAGCTGTCAAAAACGGGAAGAATCAGGAAGAAATAAAGGGTGTACTGGTTGTATTTTCCCTCGAATGAATAGTCCATAATATGGATACTTTTCTTAATATGTTCAGTACGGGCAGCTCAAAACTCTATTTTACGTCAACATACTTACGTCTACATCTCTTGGTGATCTAAATTTTCTTGGTCGATGTGACCAGCTAGTTCTTTATCAGTAAAGATTTCAATTAATTGATTGAAATCTTAGAAGAGCCGACAGTCAACGTTCTGATAAATTTTAAACCAAAATACACCAATTGAATTACTTAGGTGAGTGTTGTCTATACTGAAATAAAGCTGGTGGCTCCATTGTTGCTGCAGCGGTGAACGTTGTTACTCTATCGGGTTATCACCAACGACTCAGTCATATCCTTCTTAAACTATAGGTTAAATAGGAGTTTTTCAAGCAAGATGACTGCGTGGCCATTGCGTAGCTGTTTAAAAGCCTGCTGAGAAGCAAATTTGCGGCTAGTGGTCAGCTAGGGTTCCTGGATTGCACGTCCAGTACTCTGTTGCTTAGCTACCTTGCATCCACGTTGTCATGCATCATTATTGACCATGCATAAGATCCCAAGTGGGGAGACTATTGGGTCGTGTGCTCTATCCTTCCTTTAGCCTGCCAGCAAGCTCTCCAAGGCACTCTGGTGGCAGGGTGGGAAAAGGAAGGGGAGCTTGCAATTACATCTCTGGAATTTGAATTCCACCTCCAATTCCCTTGTGGCTCCCTATCAACTGAGTGGTCAGATTTCCACCAATCACCGTGAAGCAGAAAAGAACACAAACGTAAATAAACATTCAAAAACACAAGCCAAAGGTCAATGACTTCACTACTAATGTAGTCTCTGCCAATCAGCATTTTGCATCGACTTTTTTGATGCAGATATTCAAATTCCAGAGACCTAGTTGCAAGCTCTTCTTCATTTTCCTGCCCTGCCACCAGAGAGCCCTGGAGAGCTTGCTCGCAGGCTATTCATATCTCAGTGATCTTCACACTTGGAAACACGACCTTCATACCACTTGTGACTCATCAGTTTTAACATTCAACCATTACTTTCATAAAAAAACTAGTGCAACCTATAAAAATATTCCCAAGAATGCCTAAATGTTAGCACTCTCATTAAACGAGCCAAAGATGAACACAATAGGTTATAAGTGTAAAACTGACCTCAAAAGATTTTAGATTAAACACTGATACTCCCTCATTGTATCAAAACTCTTCCCCAGGTTCAAATCATTCTGAAGTAAAGGCTTCCTTCTTTATTTCTGTCAGCAGACAGATTCGTGGCTGGAATTTCATTTTGTGAGAAAACAGCACAGAAAATGTGCTCTTAAAATGCCTTTAAAAGGAACTTCATTTTTCCACTGAATTACAATATGATAGTATTATAATAATACGCTCTCTTATTAAGTTATAATACTTTTCTAATCCAGGAGTCTTGATAGGGATTATTACTCTTGTCCCAGCCACTAGAAATTGCTTATGATGAAGCTTTTTTATCTGTTATTCTGTTTGTTTTTAATTCACTTTTCTAATTTCATAATAGTAAAAATGAGAGCGACTAAAAAAACTGTTATACAGCATGCAAAGGAAGTCGAGTATGATGACCCGGGGCTAGTGGATTTTGCTATCAGGCTAGTGAATTCTCTTCTTAACCTGCACAACAGGCAAATAAAGGTTTTGAAAGGACTGTAATCAATCCTGCCCATCAAAAAATATTTTCAGGCTAGTTAAATTGACTCTTGGGCCAAGGGCATCATGTTTTACTTTTCATGTTTCCTCTTCATCACTACTCCAAGAGTCTTGATAAGGATTATAACTCTTGTTTTCAGTACTTGAAGCCGCTAGCGATGAAGTCTTTTCCTCTGTCATTCTGTTCAATTGTGGAAGCCATGCTAAAAGATTTGTGTCATTAGCACCACTAAACACAGCTTGAAAATGCTGGTGAAATGTGCAGCAGTTAACATTGTTAAAATGACCATTCAGGGTGATTATATGCTTTCCTGTAACTACCTCAAATACTTCAATATTGCTTCCTGATGGAACAAAGACCACTTCACTTGATGTGCCACTTGACTGGCAAAGCTTGATTGCCTTGCGGCAAGGATTATGGATGCGACCAAAATTAACAAGTGTGTTCTTCCCAGTAAAAGTATCCCACAGTCTTAAGCGATCATCTGTTCCATAGGTCAATAAGTGTAGTCCATCAAGAGAGAAAGAAATACCATTAACATGTCCATTATGAGCTGTGTTAATGGCTGATGATCTAGATCCTCCTCTTCCATTGTGTTGATCTAATGAAAGGATACTTCCCGTAGCTTTTCTTACATCCCATAAAAGCACTTTATTGTCTCGGCTACCTGTTGCTAGAAAGTATTCACTCCTGGGTGACCAAGCTACAGAAATAACTGCCTTTGAATGCCCCTTTAAAATATGAATTGCTGAGCCAGATTTCAAATCACAGAGATAAACTCTGGAATCCTCGCAAGCTGCTGCTGCTAAACAATGTTTCCTAGAATTTCTTGGCATTTGATGATGGTAGACTATTCCTTCCAGCTGAAAGCTCTCGACAACTTCAAGAGCGTTTGTATCCCACACCTTCAAAGTGTTATCAACCGAACTGGATAAAAACATTCCTGTGTCATTTGGGTACCACTGAACTGTCTCGACACTATGTTTGTGGCTGTCTTTCAAAGTTCTTTCCACGATGGCAACTGAGTTACATTTGAAATGTTCACTGTAGAAGCAATCCTCTATGTCGTGAACAGCTATTTTTCCATTGGAACTTGACGACAACAGATATTTGCCTTCTCCAGTGTCGATATCAACGCAGTTAATACCGGATTTATGGACTTGTTCTACCTCGCCACATTGACTCAATTTTATGGATCTTACTCGTTTACTTCGTTCATCTTTCGAAATAAGGTGGGCTAAATGGGTCGACTGTTCTCTCAGGCGAAGAGAGCGATTCATTCTATTAAGAAATAAATAAAATATTCACTTACATTGCCAAAAGATCCAAAAGGAAATAAAAAATTGTAAACGAAGCAAAAACAAGCAGGCCAAATTTCGTCGAGGATAAAAGAGATCTGGGGACAGCTGGATGGCCAGGCCTTCACACCTGGCTTCACGAGTCACTGGTATCGAGTGAGAAATCAACATGGTGGACGGCGTTTATGTGGGTCTTTGGCTTTACTGAAGAAAACATGCCTTTGTCTTGCAAAATATGTGGGAATAAGGCTATTTTGAAGCGACCGAAAACGGTAAGCTGGTTCATTATGCTATTACAGTCGATCAAAATTACTTTAATACAAGGATTCTTTAGTTCGTGATTTAAGCTTTTTGTGTGTCTTGGTGATTGGTCCTGATGGCGCAATAATTGCAACTTAAACAAAAATCTGTGTCCTTTTTTCGGTGTAATTAGGTTTAAGTTCAAAAGGCCTTCGAATCTTGTTCTAAAGCGTAACCGTTTAGTTTTTATCTTGCGTAGTACAATCCTCCGATTTTGTGGTACTTTTAAATGTGTTGTTAAGCGGAGTTGATAGATTTGACACTGTTTGTTTTTCAATGGGCTATTGCATTTAACTCACCTATCAGTGTAATCTGTGGGTTGGGGGGGCGGGGGGGAGGGAGGTGGTTGGGGTTGGAGTCCGGGGATTTGACAAAGGAAGTCGGCCCGTGTTGAGGACTTTTGATTATCGCCTAGTCGCGGGGGTGGGAACTTTTGAATTTCATCCGATTACGGATGCCATCTTGGATTGGAAGCTGTTAAAGACCTGGTTACCAGTCATTTAACAGTTGCAATAATTTGCCCCAGTTGTTTAAAAGGTGGATAGCGCGATCCACCGGATAAATCACTATCCACTGGATAAATATTAGGGGAGTCAATTGCGCTATCTAATGGATAGAGATTTATCCGGTGGATAGCGCTATCTACCGTTTGAACAACTGGAGCCAGGGGGAAAGGTAACCAAAGATGGTGGCCCTTGTTCCCACGAGGATCTGTGGGTATTTTTTATTGTGCAAGATGGCGGTTTTATCCTCTCTATTCTTATTCAAATGAATACATCCATTCATTTACCTGTTTTTTTTGGGAAGTTAGAATCTTATTCAGTATGACTGCATGATATAAACATTTTGCCTGAGTTTGAAAGCAAGTACATTGTAAATTTGCTTGTTTAACAGCGGCAAATTTGTTAAACTGTGTAGGTGGAAAACATTCCTTCGTGATGCTGGCATTTTGCTGGGGCATTTTAATGACAATTGTTAAAATAAACTGATGCAGCTTTCTCAAAAAGTTTGTGTGTTGCTTCTTTCAATGAAACACATTTGACCTCTTGTCTTAGTTAGAAGGGTGGGGAATTTGTTCTCTTTTGAACAATTATGATGGCCCTGGGGTAGGGCGTTTGACCCAGAAAATTGCTTCGAGTTCAATTCCCTGGCCTTTGCCTGGCCTCCTCCTCCTCCAGGTTAACACTGATAGGTGCATAATATCCGTACCCACCAGTTGAGGACTTACCTTTTCTTCTTACCCCTGAAGATTAAATAAAATATGGGTCTATCCCAGAAGAAAAAATTAATTCTTTACCCCCAAATCCACATTTTTTTACCTTACCCTTAAAGAAATCCTCAACTCACCCCGAAGAATTCCATTGATCCTCACCCCAGGGGGTTATATTATGACTTCACTTGTCACAAGCTTGGTTTTGATATGTTTTGATCATTTAAATGTATTTGATACCCCATCAGGGCCATGCATTGTGCAAAGATTGTTTTTACACAACGTTTGAGACAGAAGTCCATCAGACTATAATTTCAAACAAACTCTTTGAAAAGGGAGAAGTTGTTGCCATTGGCGCATCTGGTGGGAAAGGTTAGTGATGGTAATTATTCATTTCACTGTGTTGCATTTATGATCTGTAATTTATTACATTTTGGGTTGGTTTTTTATTACATTTACGGTGGGTATTACATGTATGGTTGAGTTTTATGACATTTATGGTTAGTGTTACATTTATGGTTGTTATTACATTAATTATTTTATGTGTCATTCAGATACTAATGAAGCATAAAATGTGAACGAGGGTTTCCCTCAAGATATAACTTAATTATTAATTTTTGTCCTAAAATCTGTTGTTGTTTGTTTGCTGTTTTTTTACCATCCATTCATTACCCTGATTTGATTTCAAGCGACACTCACTGCACTACATGTAGTTGTACTGATTAAGTCTTTAAGTGAAATTCTCGTGGTACATGTATGACCATTTAAATAGATCCTCTCCAGAATACAGTACAATGCAATGTATCACTAATTTCACAAAATATAGGTTTTTTTAAAAAAAGTATTTTTCCACTTTCACTATTAAAAGTGAGGTATCATGAGATATTTATTCTTCTTAATGACAGTCTACCATCTGTTTGTACTTTCTTCTTATGGGTTTGACTGTAAATTAATATTATTATAAAGTATGTGCATGTGTGCTCTTAGGCCCTTTATTGTAAGTGTTTGTCTTTTTTGGTTACAGATTCCACAGTGTTGGCTTATGTCTTAAAGAAACTAAATGAAGAATACAACTATGGATTAAATTTAATTTTGTTATCTGTGGATGAGGGAATTACTGGTTATAGAGATGATTCTCTAGAGGTAAAAAAAATAATATTATGTTAATTTTAACTTTATCAGAAGTATATGAAAGATAAAGGTGATAAATGCAGCCTAATGTTCACCAGGGCTAAGTTGTGAGCTTCTTTAACCTAGTTTTGCTTTAATGCTGAGTTAGGAACAGACACAGTTAGAGATGTGCAGTACAAAACTAGTGAATTTCCTTAAGGTAGCCCGAGGTTAGTGCAAAATTTGAATTGAAATCTGAGAGCTAACAATAAAAATTCAGTTGAATTCTTTTTACCAACAATTTGATGTTTGGTTTCTCTAAAATTACTTAAGTTATAATAAACTATTTAAAAACAGTGCAATAAACAAAAGAAACAGGGGCTGAGGATTACAATTTATTTGACCCCTGTGCAGGGTTGTTTAAAGCGTCATTAGGATAACCCAGGTTTAGTGGGAAGTTTGATGTCAGATGGGAAAGTGTAAAAAGCAAAATCAGCTTAGTTCTTCTTGACCACAATTTGATGATTGGATGCTCTAAAAAGAATCGAAAAAATTATCTGTTTGTCAGAAAGTGCTTTTCAACAAAAGAAAAAAAAACTGGACTGAAAGGTAACCCCAGGTTAATCAGCCTTCGAACAACTGGGTCCTGGATGGTAATAATCAGCCTTTGAACATCTGGCCAGCGAGTGCCAAGTTTCATTAAAGCTGTTTTAAAATGTTTTGTGGGTGAACAAGTTATTTTTTCTGTACAGTTTCAAAATAAATGAGTGTTTAAATTTTTCATCAACAGACAGTGAAGAGAAATGAAATGCAGTATGAGCTGCCTTTGAAGATAGTTTCTTATGAGGTGAATTTAACACTATAATGTTAATTATTCTATATGATGTGTCAGTGGCTAAGCTTTGAACTCCATTATGAGTTATTAAAACTGTTTAAATTTTATTTTTAAGGAACTTTATGGCTGGACCATGGATGCTATTGTCAAGCAAATTGGACTGAAAAATAATTGTAAGTCATCAAATATCCAAAAGATTTTCTTTTGATACCTTGTTGATACACCATATCAATAAAGTGGTTTACAGTTACAGCAGCTGTACCTAGGGCCTGTTTACAGTTGGTAACTACATGCACAGTATGTTGAACACCTGCAGTGCCGATAGAAAACTGTATGTTAAGTAGAGTCTGTATTTCACTGGTGCGACAATTTGTAAGACGAAGGTAAAAACATGACAACCAGCAAATCCTGCTACTAGACAATCAAGGTTCCTGGCATGGATTGTGAGAAAGTGGCCAGGATACATACATCTAGGATATAACATTATGACAGAAGTGCAGAAGTGCAGACATACAGTCTGTACCCTGCTTTATTTCTTGTTTCTGTTTTGTTCAACCTCATCTTTGGTTCAAATTTAGCTTTCCTTTGTGATTTTATGTTTTTCATTTATCATATACATTCCCATTGACAAAAACAAAGGAAATACAGTGAACTTGATCGAACCACAAAACTCGCACATTGACGCACTACCACAGGATGTAATGCCATTACACACTTCAAGGGTGAACACTGTTAAAGACTTGTTCCTACCATACTGAAAAACGTAATGAAATTTCAAACCCTAGGTTAACCACCAACTGTGGTCTTTAAAAGTGCAGTAAAGATCGTAATTTAATCTGTCTCAGTCAATATGTGGAAAGGTGATGTTAAGCTGTTGGCCTCAACTCTGTCTTCCTTGCTTATCAGTTTGAAGGGGATGTAAAATACCCCACACTGCCTTTTGAAAAATGGTTGGAGACATAGACCCCGGGATGTGGTCTATTGTTTGTGAGGGGGAGCGGACTGTCAGGGGCGCTTAGAACACAGTAAATATTAGGAGCTTAAGCAACGATAACGGCAACGGCTGGGAAAATGTCACCCAAAAAGTGAATTCATGCTGTTTCAAACTTCATTGCTCTTATTCCAACTCTTCTAGTTTGTCACAGGCTGGTGGTTTTTTCAGGAGTTGAAGCGTAAAGGACTATATCTAACTTCACGAAAGAAAAAGAAAATCATTGTCTTGAGTTCCCATCCTCCATAGAATGTGATAATTATTAGGAAGTTACACCTCATAGGCATGCAACGACGGCAAAGAAATGAATAAAAAAAGCGTGATGCATTTGCAAAGTTGTTGTTTTGCCAATCTAAGGCTATTGCTTTTCTGCTGTTCTTGTTGCCATTGCCGTCCTCGTTGCTTAGGCTCCCTATTACTGGCAACAACTGGTTCAGCTAATGAAATACAATGTAAAATGAGGTGAAGTGTAAGCAGTGAAGTAAAACAGAACTGTCTTAACTGATGTAAGTGTACTCTTACTCTTACTCTCTTACTCTTGTAGCTGTACATTTTGCTTTGGCAGGTACATTTTGTGGAGTATTCAGACGGCAAGCTTTAGACAGAGGAGCAATGGCCTTAAAGGTTGATAAAATAGTTACAGGTCAGTTAGCTGCTTTAATAGAGCGAATAAATATTACTAACATACTTACTGTCTTTAAATATAATGTCATTGCATCAATGAATGTCACTGTGGTTTCACAACACTTAAAAATGGAGTGCTTGTCATAGTTTGCAATAATGTTCCTTGTTATCACATTTCAAGGTCACAATGCAGATGATATAGCAGAAACAGTGATTATGAATGGTGAGGGCTACGTTCCGTAGTAATTAATAATAGATAGTTAGAAATCAAACAAGAAACTTCGAAAGAATCACTGACAAATGAATAAATTTCTTTTGTTAATAAAACTTTGTTTAGGTCAAGTTTAAAAGAGCCCATTTTTCCAAGTTTTACTCTTGTAACTTCGTTAAAAGTTCTTTGCCAAGACACTTTTAACTTTTTCTTCATATGACCTTTGGTTCAATCATGATAGTCCACCAAGTGTGTCAAAGTTTGGCAGTGCTTTGTGCTGTTGAAGTAAGTAAAAATTTGTATCGTTTTCTGCTTTAGTCTTACGAGGGGATATAGCCAGACTTAGGCGATGTACAGCTATCATGACCGTAAGTACCACATGTATTGTGAACTTTTGTATTGTTACTGTTGTTCTATGTAAGTTGCTAATTTTTGAGTTAGCAAGTTACATAGAACTACATGTAAAGTGTAAGAACAAAGTGCTTACACTTTAGTTATACCCCAATTAAACCCTCCTTCTCTAGGGTTACGAGTTTTACTTGTGGGTGTCAAATACCATCTACCGTTGACTCACTCCTAGCCCACGTAGTTAGCGGGATTGTTTTTGCTTGTGTGAGAGTTTTGGCGAGGAAGCCGCAATTATCACGGCTTTGCTTACACTATGACAATCCCGCCAGCTAGGCAGGCTACTTCAGTGTGACAAGGGGCCAGTGCTCAAATTGTCACGTTTGGTATCTTTTTTTATGGCAGCAAATCGACTTCGTCAAGTTAAAATAATCTTTGTGTTTCAATCCCAGGCCGATGCAGCATTAAGCGTTTCTTTCATGTTCTTTTTGTCAGTTTCTACTTGTTATAACCTGAGTCGGAGTTAAGTATTGTATGAACGTAGAGCCTTTATTGCAAGCATAACTGCTAAAACACCAGTGGGATTTTTAGCCTTTTCCTGCTGCTGATAGAGCCAGGGGTAAAAAGACTCGACTTCCTCTTTTAAAGGTGTGGCTGAAGGAAACATAATATTTGACCACGTGATCTTTTTGTTGAACGTAGAGTCGCTTGCACTGAAAGTGATTAGTTCCATTTGTTTGTAATATGCAGGGTACAGAGGGTGCCATTCCTCGTTGTAAACCATTCAAGTACACTTACGAAAAAGAAATTGTCATGTAAGTAAACTGACAGAGTAGTTATCAACCAAGTGGCTCATGCGATGTTTTGTGATTGGCTAATAGCACTTGTGCTGCACGCTAGAGCGGTTTTCACTTGACTGTCGTAAAACCAAAACCAAAGTAAATACACTAGCCAACCAAAGGGCGTAGTAAAACCAAAACCAAACCAATTCCTCAATTACTTTCGACAGTCAAGTGAAAACCGCTCTAAAAACCAATCAGAAGTAACACCAAAACCAAGGATGACTTGCTACCCGGCTCCTTTTCCCGGGCTCAGATGCTGCTACATGAGCTGGCTTTGAAATGTGATTGGCTCATCGAATTTTATTTCGCACATTTTCAATGGTCGGAGTGCGTTATAACCGTCATTACCTGAAATATTTTGTGGTAACTTAATTACGCGACATTCCGCTTTTTTGCAAAGATATAAAGTCGAGCTTCGGCAAAGTTTAAAATTTAAAAGATTTAAAAGACACTGTTAATGCGTACTCTAAAATCGCCAAATTCGAAAGCTGTCGGGAACATTCACGAAAAAGTGCTACGCATTCTATAAAGTATGTTTCGGTTTTGTTTATTTTAGTTACATTGTACCAAGGCTTGCAGAACGCATGGAAGCAATACCCAGTAATTTTCCTGTTTTCCTGCAGTCAGAGAGACTTTAATAATCGTGGGTACTTACCATTTACATGGAAATTTCGGTTGGAGAATCAATTGGTTCGTACCATTCTGTTCGGGGAGCTTCGGAAAATATATGGGCTTTGATTTGAGGCTAATCCATCTTTCCGCTCTTTTTAGTTTGTTAGTTCCCTGCGAGCAGTGGTTTTTCTAGGCCGGACGTAGCGTAGCGCCCGGCCTGGAAAAAACAACTGCTCGTAGGGTATTTGTTCAGCTGATTTGGATTTACTTTGTAGCGGGTCGTTCTCCCACCACGTCAAATTTTATAGTTTTATGTTTACCAATGCACTCTGAAGATTTTAACCCGGGTGGTCTGTGTAAAATGGTAAGCAACCCGTGTCACCCTTTGCTCTGTTTGTTCAAAGACACGTTGAAGTAAATGAAGTTTTGAAGCTGTGTCTAGTCTTTATATTCTCTAAGGCATGAAAAAGAATGTATGCGGAGGACATCATTTACTTTTATGATTTTGGACGCTGAAACTCATCACAGACGTATGTTTTGGAGCCGTTCTGTGTGTTACAGTGTTTACTGTGTTGAAGTTTCCTCTTGGAAATGACATTCAGCGCATTTTTTCATTATACCCAGGTACGCGTACTTTAAAAAACTGGATTACTTTTCAACGGAATGTATTTATTCACCGAATGCCTACAGGTAAGCTGTGAAACCAGGTCTTCTTGCTTATTCTTTGACATTCAAAGCTGGGCGTTTACTCCAAAGAGCGCCCCCCCCCCCCTAAATAAACCCCGCTCTTAGGAGCGATAATAGGAAGCTTTTGCTTCAACAGCGGCAACAGCAGCGAAAACGCCACTTTCAGAGTGAATTCGCGTTTTTTCCAGTTCGCTGAAAATTGATGTTTACGTCCTCCATAAAGGTTATGTTTCACGAGACGATTCGCAACGACGATTTTAGCGCAACATAGCGTTGTATCATTGTTGCGACATTGTTTGAATGGTTGCAACATTGTGCCATTATTGCAACGCGGTGTTACAATAAAAGTCGTTGCTGCGAAACATTTCCTGTAACATTACTTTAAAACGTGAAAAATATTGCTGCACGTGCAAAGTTGTTGTTTTGCTTAATAATTAAAAGGTCTTGCTTTTTTGACGTTCTTGTCTCGTCGTCTAATGTTGAAAAGCGGCTTTTGTATGTTTTATTCGACATTGCCGATGCTGAGATTGTTTCTGATTTGGATGTCTAAGGGGATATAGATCCTAAAATCTAACTTTGTTGCTCGTTGTTTTTATAAGTGTGTTGTCGATTTTAAACATACCAAAGAAAACAAACACTGCGCAGCCCATTGTTTTTAGCAAAAGAGAAGTTCTTAATAAGCGCAGCCCCTGGATAAACGCCATCGACTTGTCGAAAAATTTATAAGCGCGTCGACTAAATTCCGTAGTCAAACTTCGCGAATATGATTACTTTCGAGACTGATTTTTGAAGGCGTATGGGTGTTGTCTTGGATGGAGTGCAGAAGATGCAGGAAGAAATTTTCTTTGACCGTCGATAATTCTGTATATAGACTGAATTGGATGCTTTAGTGGTTTAGTATCATGGAGTTACGGATAGCCTCTAGAAAAAAGTACTTAAAACACATTTGCCCATTCTTCTTTAGGTTCTTAGGGGGCCGAGGTTTTTTTGTATTCACGAAACCTCACAATTCTATTTCAACAGGGGTCACGCACGGACTTATCTAAAGGATCTAGAAAGAATACGCCCAAGCTCGATTTTAGGTGAGTATCATTAAAATAAGCGATGTTGAACGATTAAAATCACCGTCTTCAGAAATTCTGATGGAGTAACATTACCAGAATTACAGGAACTGCCTTTGTCTGGGTACGAGCTGGGTTTTCTCAACACTCGGTGTCTATTATTTGCTACAGATATCATCCATTCTGGTGAGAGTCTATCTGTCAAGAAAGATGTCAAGATGCCCGTCCAAGGTACTGTGTACAGGTTCCAAGATTTTCCTTTCTCTTTGGAATAACCGATTCTCATCGACTTTCAAATACAGGCCCCGTCCACACGAATTTGGAGATTTTTGAAACCGCATATCTTTTTACCCGGATTCGTGTGGACGGACCTTTAGCCCGGGGGCGAGGGGGATTTTAAGTGACAGGGATGATCAAATGGGGGAAAAAATCAAAACCCCAAAAAATATCAAATGGGGGAAAAAAATAAAACCCCAAAAAATATCTGGACCAAAATTTAACCCCCAAAAAGTCCCTCGCCGAATTTCCGAGCCATAAAAAATTTCCAGAAAGCATTAAATGATCTAACTATCACAAATCTTCGGATTGTTTTGAATACCCGTAAAAATGCCTACCTAAATCAAGCTGCCCCAAATTTTCCTACCCCAAAAAATCCCGAAATCGAAAATTTCAAATCCAAAAAGAATCCTTTCATCATCTATGCTACTTGAAATCCGGAGTACCCCCCTGGGGGCTTTAGACCACTCTGGAGAGCGGTTTAAGAAAAGTGCGGTTTCGGTGTGCGTGCTCACTGGTTTCACGTAAACAGAAGATTGATTTGTGGGGAAAAATGTAGTTTCCGACATATCCGGATTCATGTGGATAGGGGCCCGTTTCTCGAAAGGTCCGGAAACTTTTCGATCCCAAAGGCAAATTTTAAAATCCAAACCTTTTGAGTAGTAGCGCAGTTCCTACCCGCAAACCAGTCAATTTTGCTTCGTTATTAACTGATAGTTTCAACATTTTTGAAACTTTGAACTTGATGCAAACACAAAAAGGCCCGAAAAGTTACCGGGACTTTCGAGAAACAGGCCCCTGCATGGGCCTACATGTATTAATATAAATCGATTAAGTCCCGTGTCCTTTTTCTTTGCACGGGCTTCACGTGCTGCACGTGCCAATCGACTTCTTCTTCTGGTTTTGCATAATAAGCGCATGTGAGAACGAGCGAACCAGGGCAAAGGTGGCATAAAACTGGTTTAGCCTTCGTGTTTTCCTTGGTTCAAACGTCTGGTGTCCATTTATTAACTTGTTAACTTGTTGTAAAGAAAAGTTCACCGTGATGGAAAGCATGTTTCAGACCCCCCTCTCTCGCCCCTTCTCCGCACCAAGGATTAAACCTGTTCCACGCGCATAAACTACCGTTCATTGACTTTCATTTGGAATTGTCACAGGTTAAGGGTGGATTTGTTTGAGGCAAACGCGTATATTTGTCGCCCTTTCATCGAGTACCTCTTTTCAAATAAACGCTTTCATAAGCCCCTATAAAACACTACTCGTGCAAAACCCCGGTACGTGCAAATGGGTATTAAATGTCGTGCTGTTTGCAGCAACTCTGGCCACTGTTCAGTCCAAATTGGAGAATTTTAACAAAGTTACTTGAACTCTGCAGAGAGTAAAGAATATCAGTACGCTTACCTGTTTGGGAAGTTAGAAGTCTGCCACGTTAACGTGAACGTCATTGTCGTCCCTACAGACTACTTGTTCAACCCAAGTGGCTAAGAAGACGAATGCGCGTGCTGCATTTACATTTGAAACGTCCATTCACAAATTTATTAATAATTCATTAAGAAAATACAAATTATGTGTAAGGAGGGCTTAACAATAGGATACTTGCACGATGACGTCATTTTACCACAACCACAAGAATCGTTCAATTTGTTGCTTTCTCGTGCAAATTGGATTATTGTCTTTAAACCTCAGCGGAATTGAAGCGGAAAAAGGTGATACCTTCCTTCCGAGGTGTTACTTTTTTTTCCTGCTTTTACCGAAAAGACCGAAATTTTCTGTACCGTTTGTTTAGATTACTAGTGCCAGGCTTCTGTGCAGTTTCTGTAATTGTACTACCACTTGAGAAATTTCTGCAATTTGATTGGCTTAGAGCGGTGGTATTTCAGCTTAATTTGAAATACCTACATGTGAAAATTACAAACCTTTTGTGGGTAGTAGTATAAACAAATAATAGCATGATTTGTACGTGATATTTGGCATAAATACCACTTGTGATATTTCAAAATTGTCTCAAATTTCACTCGCCTAACGGCTCGTGAAATTACGTATAACAATTTCGAAATATCACTCGTGGTGTTTAAGCCAAATATCATTACAAATCATGCTATTACCTATACATATAAAATCCATCCAGAATTTTGATGCTTAAACCTGAAAGCTTAAGAGAAGCTTAAGGATTATCATTCACAGCAAGAGAAAAGTAAAGATCGAAGGTTTGTAACGCTTACTTGTCTGATACTGTAGGTATTTGCAAGAGGTGTGGATATATCTCAAGTCAGCCTTTGTGTAAGGCATGTGTACTTCTAGAGGGATTGAATAAAGGACTACCAAGGTATGATAGCGAAAAAGGCCATTACCGAGTTTTAAGAACCCTCACTTTGAAAACGAGGCTAAGTGCAAAAACCTTTCATGTGAAGATGAGAAATCGTTTTCATATCAATGGCTTTGCACTGAGCTTCGCCTTGAAACAGAGGCTTGTGGCAACTCGGAAATGGCCTATTGGATAAGTTACACAGGGAGCAATAGAACAAATGTTTTCTTGGTGGCCCTTACTACACCGTGCGTTGGGCCAGTATGTCTGCTAAAATCACTGACACCCTTTCAGACTGTGTGTGATAGATAAACCTTGGAAATAACTAAGCTATCCGTCCGAGACTTTTAATCATGTCCTATTGACTGGTAGACGTGGAGGCTTCTTGTGAAAATGTGAAAGTTTTCTAGTTGGTTTGGGCAGAAGTGCTTTTAGCTTGGAACTGCAGTCGCTTTTCATAATCTTTGGACTTTTTTGTTCTTCAGGTTGGGTATTGGAAAAACAACCAAAGCTCAGGTAAGTTACCCAGAATTCAGCAAGGGAAGTTAGGGTTCTTATCTCGTCCCCAGATCTACCGAGATCCACCTGACCTTCTCCGCTGCTAGAGCTCAGGGACAAGCATCAGGCGACTAAATTTTCCTTAATTCACTGAAATTTTAGTCTCATAATTTTTTATATTTGGGTTTCTCCAGTTTTGTGTTGTGTTTGAGTATAAGCCAACTCATTTAGAATTCTTCTGTTTTTCCTTCAGATTCCTTTTGATTAGATCGTATTCAATTAATTAATCGTTTAAAACACATCGTACTCATACTTTTATTGATCTCTTCATCTTTAGATTGAAATTTTGAGTAGTGCTGATAGTGGTTCCAGTCAGCCCAGTGGCGGAGATAACAGCAGCTCTGCTAAGTCTCTTGATTTTTGATATTTTGTACTTTTAAAATTATAAATACAAGTCATCTTTTCACATGAGGTTTCATGTCTTTTATTTTACCCCTTACCCCAGCGCGAGTTACGCGATAAACACAGAAATGTGAGAAGGGCAATGCGACAAGACTTTAATGAATCTCAAATTTGCCTCGCGGCGAACGTCTAAGGGACTGGGTCCTTGACAGCCTAAGGCGTTACTGGCTCGGTCAGAGCCGGACCCTACTTTGAGTCATGACATTCCCAATTCGCGCGGACAACGAAGCGAGAGATGACCTGGGAACTAGGCTGGGTCTGCAGCATTACGTTCCAAAGAATCAAATATCTTCGGTATGTCGATCGTCCTTGATACTTCATTTTTTTAGTTGTGACAGAACTGACCATCTGTCGGATTCCTTCTTGCTTAACGTAGACTAGAAGGTCTTTCCTCAAAATGAAATATCGTCGAAAACGACAAATTTGCTTGAATCTACAGCAACGTACCCACATCACCGAGGAGAGGTCCTGGTAAGCAATTGATAAAAGCGGTCAAACATCTTGTTTCTGTACCCATTTCTTTATAACCTTTGTTCCACCAAGTGCAAGGGTAAGAGAATCTACGACAGGGCACCCAGTGTCACTGTGGCTGAGCAAGAATGAGAGGAATTGGCGTGGAATAGGCCTTTCCGTCCAAAATTCTTGCATGAATAGGTAGACCAAGTCTAGCAAAACACCATCTGTAACAAAACAAGAGAAGTACTAGTTTAAAATAAACGTTGCGAAAAGAATTAGGGTGCGAAAAATCTGCAGAATCGAGGTCCCTGTTGCCTAATTACTCTCTTTTTTATAAGAATATAGTTTAAAAACATACCGAGGCTGAAATTTGCGAAATTTTAAGAATGTCGTAAGAATAAACCACAGGCTGAGACTCAGTTGAAAAGGATATAATTTTGTCTATTGAAATCTGTAAATACAATACCAATAACATGTTTTTGACTTAGTACTTTGTCAAAACTGCAAAACTAGCAAACAAAACCTGCACTTACGATAATTCATACCCCCAGTATATTCTAAAACGGCAATGTCATAAGCTATAATTTAAGAATAATACAAGAAGAACATTTTCAACCTTAAATCGGCCGAAAAATGAGACTGTTGAGCCTGCGCCAGAAAAAAAAACATCCTTATATATAAAAAAAGAGCAGCTGAGTCGGTAGCGCGCCAGGATAGGCCATTTCCGAGTTCCAAAAACCCCCATTTTCAAATCGAGGCTAAGTGCAGAATTCTTCTTGCGAAAATGAGTTTTAGTTGCATGAGAATAAGAAATCAGTTGCTTTGCACTTAGCCTCGCTTTGAAACAGAGGTTTGGAGCAACTCGGAAATGGCCTATTCTTTATAGTTATAAGATTCTACCCACCTTGCTTAGGAAGGCAGCTACCCTGTTCCATTT